TAAAGCCAAAGCAATTATTTTCTTTTGGAAACAAGTAAGTGCTTAACAGAAATCAGAATGAGGAGAGTTGAACTGTGCTTGTTCAGTTTTTTATTTCCAAGTTCCTTTGGGCTCCTGACATACCTTTGGGCACCTGAAATGCCACCCCAATTACAGCTACCATCCTTGATCCTGAAAGAAAAATCCCACGGGACTGACAAATTGCTCTGAGAAAGAGGTCCCCTTCCCACCTGATCTTCAAAAGCAACCAAAATCAACACACCTGCACAGCCACACCTATAGAACATTCAGTCAGATTTAAAGTCACCATTTCTATCAAACTGTTCTCCAATTCCCAGAGCTGTAGCAATCCAGATGGGTCAGACGCTGCCATAAGCTCACACCTTCCAGGACAGGTGCCAGCATCTAAGATAACTCTATCCAAATTCCTGATTAAGGCTCAACAGCAAATGTATGGAAAGCAGTAAGCAAAATTGCTTAGAATTTCTGTTTTCACCCTAGATTCCCAGAGGAAACAAAAAATTTGTAGGATCAACTGGCCAAATCACGTAGTTGTCAAAAGAAAAATTTCTCCTACAATATATACAGCATTTAGACAGAGACCTGACACAAATTCAGTTCTGTTAGAGGTGATAAATGACAGACAAAATCCTTATCTCCAACCTCCCCATTCCTATTTTTACCTCCTGATGTCTTTTGTCACAGATTCCCGTTTCAGTCTAAACTCAATACCGTGGCCTGTTTGGGGAGGGGGGTTGGTTAGCATGAAGAGCTGAGCTGAGAAGCTACAGTGGGCGTAGAGGTGAGCAGAGCCCCTCTCCCGAGTGGAAGGGAAGGCGAGAGGATGCAGCAGCCTCGCAGCACCGCGCAGCAGAGCGGCAGTGTCGCCCGCTGGCCGCTCGCAGCATTGCCGGTGCTCTGACCGCAGCATCCTTACTCCTCCCGGCCCCTCCACCTTCCTTCCTGCTCTCACTTTGGGGAAACCGGTGGAATTGGCAGCCCTGAAGATTTCCCAACACAAAACGCCTTTGCTGAGGATCAGGCCAGAGCACCATGGCACAACAAGCCCAGGAGGTCTGAGGGCACAGCCCATCCATGCAGAGTATGGATGGATGCAGCCTACCCATCCAGGATGCAGGTAGAACCACACAATCCAGATCAAAAAGATCATCTCATATCCTTACCTTCTCTTCCTATTTCCACCCTGCCCAGCTTCTGCCCTCTGCAAATATAAATCGAAAGGGTAATTAACAACTTCCTCAGTAGGAATAGAAGTCACCTTAGATAAGATACCTGTGCAATCACCCTGGGATATCAACATAGCAAAACATCCTCTGCACCTGTCAATGAATGGCTACTTCAGAGCAGTTGAGCTTTATCAGAAACCTGTACTTCAGTTATGACCTCTGCATCGATGAAGAAAGCATAGTTGTGTGCAGAGTCACATCTCTGCATGTGAAAATGTGACCCAAGCACTCCGAATCAAGAAAAAAAAGCAATGAGCAGAACAACACTGTCCTGCTCCTCGGAGAGGAAATGGAGGGGCAGGCACTGAACTCTTCTCTCTGGTGACCAGTGATAGGACCCAAAGGAATGGCCTGAAGTTGTGTCAGGGGAGGTTTAGGTTGGATATAAGGAAAAGGTTTTTCACCCAGAGAGTGGTTAGACACTGCAGCTGGCTTCCCAGGGAAGGGGTTACAGCACAAATCCTGTTAGGAGGTGACATGAGGATATGCAGATTGGTAGGAATGACACCAGATACCTGAATACATGCATTTACTTTAGTAAGGGAAGTTTGAAGCACTGAATTAAAAGGAAAAAAAAAGTTTAGGAAACACGTTCAGAGACGCTGCAGTCAAACTTCTGAGCCACAGACTTTTGGCAGCTTGGGAAAAAGTTCCTACTTAGGTCCAGTTTTGAATTGATCTTTCGAAGATGTCAGGCTCATTAACGAATTATTAATGCTGTAGCTCATCACCACCCAAATCTATTTAAAGCTTAAGCTGGAGCAAGAGCAAGTGATCCCTCTGCTACCTCCTTACTATTTTTCCTCCAGCAGCTACCAGGGTTATTAACAAGACTTGTGTTTCCTGACCTGTATTGTTAAGGACAGGAGATGTCCTGCAGTCACCAAAAAACCCAGACAAAACCAAACCTTAAACCAAACAGACAAATAGATCATGAAAGATGTTCCAGCATCTTGACAGTCCAAATGGATGATTTGGAGGCAATTATTAACTAAAACATCAGCTTTTTGTCCAAGACTGAATGTCCCAAGAATTGGCTCAAAATGAAAATTTATTGTTGCAACTCAGTATGGATTAGGCAACTCAAACATACAGATGTGGGAACCTGCTACCAGACCAAGGGAGAGTGAGCCATAGAGAGCAAAGCGTTCAGGTGGACTAACCACAAGATCTGCACGTGACAGAACACACTACAGGCCATAGTACACAATTATAGGTGGTCGGCGCTGGAAGCACAGGTCAGCAGCTCAGGTTCATCCTCAGCAGAGGATGAGCTGCTCTTTTACCATTCCAGTCTCCACCAAGCCATTCATACTGCTCTTTTTCTCTCCACCTTGCAGCTCATGGCCTAGTTTCCCCAGCCTTCCTCAGAGGCAAATGGGAAGAGGCAGAATAATGTTTTATGTGTTCTCTCCTCCCTCCTTAGATCTGTCCATTCCTCCACTCATGGAGCTCTATGCTATTCCTCAAGGCACAGACATGAAAGACATACCAAGGTGAGCCAGGCTTCTTCAAGTTATTTAGTTTTCTTCAGATTCATCTCAGAGCATTCAAGCAATGAAGTGTGCAATTAACTGGAAAGGAAAAGTGGGTTTTAATGGCTTCACTAGTAAAAAGAGCCACTTAACTACTGGACAGCACTACTAACATCTCCATAGTTATACCTATAATTCCAGTAGTGTACTGAGTTTGCATGGCAAGGGTTTGGTAGCAGGGTGGCTACAGTGGTGGCCTCTGTGAGAAGCTGCCAGAAGCTTGCCCTGTGTCCAACAGAGCCAACGTCAGCTGGCTCCAGCATGGACCCACTGCTGGCCAAGGCTGAGCCCATAGGCAATGGTGGTAGTGCCTCTGGGATTTTGGATTTAAAAAGGGGAAAAAAAACCCCTGCAACAGCAACTGCAGCTGGGGAGAGGAGAGTATGTGAGAGGAACAGCTCTGCAGGTACTCAGGTCAGTGCAGAAGGGGAGAGAGGAAGTGGTCTGTGAGAGACTGAAATTTTAAAGGTTAACGAGCAGCGGGTGCTTTGCTGACAATGTGCAAGGTAACAGCCCAGGTGCAGAGGGGGTGCATGCACACCACCACCAGAGGATAACCACGACAAATGAACTTCTGTTTAGCAAAACACTGTTTTTTGAGCAAGATAAGGGAGAAGGCTGGTAAGAAGCAGATCCTGTGGAGCTGGGATAATGCTTTTTATCAAGCCAATGTCCTTCCTTACACAGCTGGCTCAGGTGTAAAACTCCTTCCACCCACACACCACCAGCTCTCACCACCCCTCGCCTCAACTTCCCCCCAGAAGGTATTGGGATATTCAAATTAACACGTAGGCCTGAAGGTGTTCATCCCTTCTGATGGGGCATAACTGGCCTGAGAGGCAGCTGTCATGTCTTAGAAGGTGTCATAAACTATCAACAACTTACTTCTGGGGCCTTCCACCCGAGACCAAGACCGCACATCATCCACCCTGTTACACCGGACAGTGTAAACCCCACCCCCATCTCTAGGGGAGGTACCTGGGTGTTCCCACCTGAACTCAAACATCAATTAACCCATTGAACTTTGTGTTGTACAGATTCCCCCCAACCCCCACGGATCAAGACCGTGACCTGTCACCTTGATCAACATCTAAACTGCATCAAGCCTCATTACTGGATCAACAGCTGGTTGCATCTTTCCTCTCCACTATCTACTCTTATGTATTTTCATAAGTAGTATCTTTATACTTTTATATTCATTTCTATAGATAGTAACCAAACCAGCTAAATAGCCCCTTTCCATTGCAACCAAATTGTTTTAAAATAAACCGTATATATACATATATATATATATATATATATATTTATAAACACCATTCAGTGTTGTTCCACTCTAAGCCACCCCAAGGGATCTATTAAGAAGATCTATTAACAAGAACTTTGGTTACCCTACCTTCAGGGATGGGTCCTGACAATGCCAGACCAGGTTCCCCAGCACCATGGTGAAGCAGCTGTCACCCTGCAGTCCATGGAGGTCCACAGCGGAGCAGAGATCCACCTGCAGCCTGTGGAGCACCCCATTCTGGAGCAGGGGTATGTCCAAAGGTGGCTGTGACACTGTAGGAAGCTCACACTGGAGCAGGCTCCAGGCAGGACCTGTGCCCCCATGAAGAGGAGTCCATGCTGGAGCAGGTCTGCTCACAGCACTTGTGACCCCATGGCCGACCCACACTGGAGCAGCCTGTTCCTGAGGGACTCCGTCCCCTGGAAGGGACCCACAATGGAGCCATCTGTTTGTGAAGGACTGCACCTTGTGGAAGGGACCCTATGCTGGAGCAGAGGAAGTGTGAGGAACCCTCTCCCTGAAAAAGATGGAGCAGTGTAGTCAGCATGTGATGAACTGACTGTGGCTCCCATTCCTTGTCCATGTGCTGCTGGTGGGGGGGGAGGGAGAGAAAAATCAAAAATTGAGCCTGGGAAGAAGGTAGGGTTGAGTGGAATCAACATTTGGTTTTCTCACTTTATTTCTCATTATCATATGATATGATTGGTAATAAATTAAAGTAATTTACCCAAGTCAGGTCTGTAATGGTAACTAGGTAACTAGATCTCTCCCTGCCCTTATCTCAACCCACAAACCTTTTCCTTGTATTTTCTCTTCCCTGTCCAGCTGAGGAGGGAAGCAATGAAGCAGCTTTGGTGGGCACCTGGCATCCAGCCAGGATCCACACGTAACACAACAGACAGAACTTCCTGCAGAAAAGACAAACATGATTGTACTCCATTATCACCTTTTTATTGGTAAAAGGACAGATCTTGACAATGGGAAAAAAAAGATGTTTCACATGGAAGTAGCTTCTACTGGTCTTTCAATTCCTTCAGTCTTCTGATGGCAGATTTGACTGTCACTGCAGAGGTGGTACTGGAGGAAGAAACAGAGTCATTTGCATGCGGCAGCAGAACAACTGTGCCACTGTTATCTTTTTTTAAAGAAAGCACAACTCATTTCGAATAGTTATCATCTGATTGCGCTGTCAACAGGAGTCTAATTCCACTTCTATTTTCATGACAACAAAGCGTAGGCCTTGGCCTACAGAAGCACATGCAGCTTCACAGGCTACATCTTAACCCAAACTACCCAGTCATGCACCCACCACATGCACATGGTGTGGGCTCAGCTGGCTCATGACTGTTACATGTGGAGCAACAGTGTCTTCTATCAAGATTGTGGGGGAAGGAGAGTAAAGGAGTAGGAAAGAGGACCTGCACAATAAGGGCTGTCATGATTCAGTGCTTTTACAACAAAAGGAAAACATGGTAATAATTTTTTTTTGGAGTAAATTTGGTTTTGCCTATTGCAAAGAATAGCAATCAAATACAATTTGATCCACTGCAATCAAATTTCAACAAAGCAGGCAACACCTCCCATGTCACTAACTCAAGACAGATCTACTTAATGGTTAGTAGATTAAAATTAAAAAAAAAAAAGATAAAAAATCAAAAGTTGTATTATGCCTCAGCTACACAAGAATAAATGTTGATAGGAGCTTCTTCATTTCCTTACTTGTAGGTCCAGGCACCACCAGCTACTGTCTTCATGCAGGATCCGCAGTGCCAGATACCCACAGCCTTCCTCTTCATTTTGGTCTGGAATAAAAGAAAAGAGGGAGAAAAAAAGTCACTCTCCATCAGCTGAAAAAGCCAAACAACCAACTTCAGGCGAGGACTTCAGCATCACACCACAGCATTCCTATAAGCCTAGTTAAGACAGGCAAGGATCAGGGAATCTTTTTACTCTGTTTCTGCAGAACAGGGGAAGTCCACCTGAAACACTTTTTCATTCAAAGTGCATCTTTTCTAAACGGATCATCAAAAATTCAGCTCTTTTTGAAGGAGAAAAATAGCAAGGAGATACCTTGGTCATAGTAACTGATACTCTGACCTGGATTTGGTGACTAATGTGACACCACTGTTCCCAGTACTCCCTGGACAACCCAAGATTGTTGTAAACCAGATACCCTTCAAACAGCATCTAAAGAGTGAATGGTGGGTCTTGAACTCCTCTCTCCTGGGCAAGTATCCCTCACCTTGCAAAGGTGTCAACAGGTTTGCCTAGATCTATGCCTGATTTAGGCAGCTCTGCAAAGGTGGTTATCAACATTCTCACTTCACATGACAAAGATACCAAGTTAAAAAAAAAAAACACAGAAAAACAATAACAAACCAACACAACCCTCCAAAAAACTGATGAAAATACTTTTAAATTCCCAGCCACTTAAAGATACCTACTCTACAGATAACAATAAAAAAATATCTGGACAAAGCACAAGCTGATGAGCCTCTTAAACTGTTGAAAACCAGATTTAACAGTGAATTTTGATTATGTACATGAGCAGGTAAGATTACTGCTTATCACAAATTCTTCCCCCTCCACAGTTATGCAGCACACAAAAGTATGCAACTGCCATCAAGAGTTTTAAGTGGGAAAAAGCAAGCTCTCTTCCTCCTCCAGGTATGCTGTAAAGCTACTGAAGGAAAAAAAAGGCCCAAATCATGTGTTAATTATCAAGATAACAAGTGTGATGCTTTAATTCTGTCAGATCTATTTTATTAGAGATGTAATGGCAGCGCTGCTCAATCTTTTGCATAATGAAACATAATTTATGTTTGTTTTCATTTAACTACGACTAAACATGCATGTGAAATGTGTATTATTGTCTTTTTCATGGATTCTGACAGTAGGCCAAAGCTCACTATACACTAATCACTGTCTCAAAACTAGTCATGTTATCCCTTTTGTATAAAAATTCCTGAAGCATCAAATTGCCTTTCTAGCACCAGAAACAATGTGATTCTTAAAGATTTTTTCGGGGTAAGGAGATCTCTCACCTTGCCACAGAAGGAGCAGGTATACTTGGCATGCTGGCTAATTTCAATCTTCTTCACCATTTTCCTAAGGGATGCACCGTAACGGGTCCCATATTTACCCACAATCCCGACCTTCTTGGTGCGCTTGGCCTGTTGGGAGGCAAACCACAGTAAGCTTCAACTGTACAGAGACTGCCATCTCCTCAGCTGCTTCCTTCTCCTGTCACAGCAGTGACCTAAACTGGGGCTGCTGCCTCCCGCCCCCATTGTAAAAACTGAGTGTTCACAGAATGGGTCAGGTTGGAAGGGACCACAGTGGATCATCTGGTCCAACCTCCCTGCTCAAGCAGGGTCATCCCAGAGCACATGGCACAGGACTGTGTCCAGATCGTTCCTGTGTATCTCCAGTGAGGGAGACTCCACGCCCTGTACTGGGCAACCTGTTCCAGCGCTCAGTCGCCCGCACGGAAGTTCTTCCACGTATTCAGGTGGAACTTCCTGCGCATTAGTTTCTGCCCGTTGCCTCCTGTCTATTGCTCGGCATCACCGAGCTCCATCCTACACCCTGGCTCCATCCTCTTGGCACCGCCCCTTTAGATATCCATACACATTAACGAGAATCCCTCCCAGCCATCTCTCCTCGAGGCTGAACAGGCCCAACTCCCCTCAGCCTGTCCCCGTAAGGGAAATGTTCCAGTCTCCCAGTCACCCTCTCTGCCCTCCACTGGAGCACTAGTTACGAAATGACGCCAGGCTGCCGCAGCCTCAGCCTCCCTCACGGCTTCTGCCGGGGCCCTTCGGGCGGCGGTGTAGCCGCCAGGCCCGAGCACAGCCCGGCTCTCTCAGGAGCGCTGTGCCCCCGCGCCCCTCACAGTGCAGCCGCTGCGCCCCCGGGGCCGGCTTATCCCCGCCGCCCCCCTGGTCGCCCTTCCCCGCTCCCTGGCCGCCTTCCCGCGACCGCCCAAGCGCAGCGCGCCGCTGTGGCAGCCCAGCACGGGGCCGGGGCCCGCTGGGGGACACGGCGCAGAGCCGGGCCCGGCCTCGCGGGCTCAGCGCGGCCGCCCCGGGGCGGATGGCGGGGGATGGCGGCGGACGCGCCCCGGCCGCACTCACCATCTTGCGCCGGCGCCGACGGGGAGAAGGAGCCCCGTGCGCAGGTCCGGGCGGAAGTGACGCGGTGGGGCCGGGCCGGGGTGGGTCCCGCTGTCCCTCCGGGAGACACCCCCTGCCCGGGAGAGTCCCCCTGAACAAGAGGGGGGAGCGCTCCCTGGAACAGAGTTCCCGGAGCGGTTGTGGAGTCTTCCTCACTGGCCCTACACGAGAACCGTCTAGATGCAGTCCTGTGCTTTGGGATGACCCTGCTTGAGCAGCGAGGTTGGACCAGATGATGCCTCGTGGGCCGTTCTGTGACACTATGGAACCCAATGTGAGCGCCAAGCGGTATATGAGCCATGAGCCCCAGCACTGCCGGAGGGAGATGCAGCGCGGGGGCTCAGAGTCCTGGGCTTCCAACCAGGGAGGTCCCACCAGGATAGGAGATGGGGCAGTTACATTCACTGACTTCGTTTTTAAAGAGAAAGTAGGAGGTAGATGTCAGAATTAAAACAGGAACAGAAAACCTGACTGGAACTGCAGAAAGATGATGATGATGATTAATCAGTGAGTACAAATTCTCATCTTGGAACATTCCAGCCCTAAACCAAATGGTTTCAAGATAACCTGACGTGATGGAACCAAAGCAACTTCCTGATTTCCTCAGGGTTATCTACTGTTGAGACAACCAGCCCTGAAAGCCTTTGTGTGTTGATGCACAGGTGACTGTCAGCACCCAGACAGTACCCTCAGGTGTTTGGGGAACTGGAGGCGTCTCCACCACCAGCACCAAAATGTGGGGTCAGCAAAACGAACCAATGCCAGTGAGCTGCAATGCTCATATGAGGATTAGCAACCCATTAACCTCCATTAAGAAATGTAATTAGTTAGCCCAAGAGCTTTTTAATGTAAGATCCAGCTACAGCTCATCCCCTCCTGCCAGGAAAGAGCCAGAGCTTCCCAGTCCACCTGGAGAAACCATCTCCAGGTACTTCTTGCAGGTGCTTTTCTTCTCTTCCTGACAGCTCCATACCCACCCTGGCTGCCTTGATCCATGACAGCCCTCCTCTTCACTTGCAGTCTATTTAGTTAGTAAAGAATTAATGAATCAAGTGTACCCTGCCACTGTGTTAGTCTTTCCCTGGCTGGGGACTGTCCTTTCAGAGATGCTCACAGACAGATGCTGCATCCCCTCTTGGCTCTTGCTTTGAGGGTTTGAACACTCATAGTTTTAATTTTCATGCTGGGCTCCCCATTCCCTGATCATCCCTGCAAGCTCTTCTCCTGGGAGCTGGTAGGCCAGAGCCATGTTCCAGAGGGCTCAGCAGGGCTTTAGGCAACGGTATTTATATCTCCCTGTGTTGAGTCAAAATCTCATTTGATATATCCTAGGAATATATTTGCCCTTTTCAGATCCTCATCATAATGATGACTCACAGGATACAGCTTTGATACCGACGTATTAGAAGATTAAAAAAAAAGGGGGGGGGGGAGAAAGTAAAATGTTCCTTTGGCTGCTTAGGGATGATATGGTTAAAAAAATATAAAGTGTCAGACAACACATCCAGGACAGAGAATCTACTGCTATTCTCCGGTCTGTATCTACAGAGTTAAAAGTTTTCTGTGAGAGTATAGTGCATGGTCATACCCTTCATCTACCAGTGTTACAGACAGCTCTAGCAACAACTAAACACAGCCCCCTCGGATAACAGCCATTCCCAGCACTGCCAGAGTAAACACAGTTTCCAAGTGACTGAGAAGATAATGGATGCAGACAGGCCAGCTCAGCTTTACTTTGATAGTCCACTGCCTTGAACTCTTCCGCACATGAAGATGGCCAGCCTGGGACATGCAGGAGATTTAGTTTGAACTGCTCCAGCTTATTGTTCAGGTATTTTTACCTGTTGTTCCTGGTTTGGCATCCTTCTTGAAAACGCACCTTTCTCCAGTGTGGGTGGGAGCACTGATGCAGATGTACAAGCAGGCGTCCAGCCACAGCAACATGCTCCAAGGTCCAGTAAGATGGGTCCTTCCCTTTCCTCTACTAGGCTTTAGATAATGCCAAAAAGCTGTGTCATCTTCAGTGGGCAGGTGCAAGAGTCCCCAAGAGTGCTGCATATTCCCAAGTCTGCCTGTGGGTCTGTCAGCCTGCACATTACCTTGTACGAGGTCTCTTCAGCAAGCCTTGGAGATCCTGTCTGAGCCTGCTGGCAGCTGCCCAGCCACCTCCTCACCATATTAATGATGGACTAATGGTGCAATTGGGATAAGGCTTGCACAGTCTCTCCAATTCCTTGAAGTAATCACTAAAAGCACTTTCCTGCAAGATTCTTCTTCCCTTTTTCATCTAGTAAGGATAAAGTGAATCTCAAGTGTACTTCAAAAAAACCTCTGTATCTCTGCAGCAAACCAGCTGAGATTTTATAGGTCCTAGCAAAGGAAGAGTACACCTAGCATTCCTCTAACAGGCTGGGATTTATCAACATATGGACGAGATAAATAGAGTTCATGAAAAGCAGAATTCTCCAAGGGTACCTACAGCCTATTTCAGAAAAATACTGTTTTGAAATAGTTGTAGCTTTACAAAAAGGAAAAGAACTACTCCTATAGGAGAAAACAATATGGGTATACAAATAATGTCTTCCATATTTTTTTTTTCAGTCAGCAGACAGCAGCATTTCTCACCCCTTACTCACAACAACCCACTTTGCAAGTAGAAAGATCACTTGTCCTACAGACAGATTGAATACTCTGTGTTCAAGATGACAGGCATTTAAAAATGTCAGAAAGTGTGTCTTTATCTCCTGGCCAGCTGTTGAAGCAAGAGCAGTGATGTTTAGCTCTCAGTCTCAAACCCAGAGATAAAGCATTTCCTCCAGTAGCCCAGTCACACAACCCTCACTGCTGCTCTCACACCCCAAAGCACCTTCTGCAGTCATGAATGAAAAGCAATTCTCCACCCAGCACAACTGCATACGCAGCCTGTGGGGCATTTCCATGACGACAATTGCTGCAAATGGAATAATCAAAGCCTTCAATGCAGGAAAAAATATCTACTATTACCAGGTTGATCTTGCAGCACAAACATTCTTCTCCTCTGCCGTGGAAGAGAGATCTTTCTGTCAGTGTCTGGTATCTGCACAGAGCCAAGCATGCCACCTGCACAGCACATTAGCTCCTGGCCTCCAGGAGTTAAGTGTAAGCCTTCAGTTTGCTTTTTCCCCATACTTCTCTAGAGATTATGGCTGTAAAACACAGATAACTGATACATTTGTGAAATTATATCTTCTCCTGTACTCCTGGTCACATTGGCTTAACACTAGCCCATTTCCAAGTATCTTCTAGGACTAAGACCAGAAGCATGAAAGACATTAATCACACTACACCACCCTGGCAATAATACACAAAAAAAAACCCCAAACCATGCAGAGATGCCTGAGAAGACCAGTTGTGATAAACAAAGCCACTTGCTTTTACATCGAGCCCACATCAAAAGTGGCCTCTAGAGTTTTTGCAGAGGCATCACCTCTGTGAAGTGGAATCAGGCCATGCCCAAGAGACAGCAACTGTGTCACAAGCTCCTGAAAGGAACCAAAGACCAGGTTTGCTCAGGTGCTATTGAGGCTGGGAGGTCAGGCATCCCAGTTCACAGGGCTGAGAGCATGGTAGAGACTATCACAGATCAAAAAAAGGCATTTTAATCACTGCATCAAACAACAGTGCTGCTTTTGGCATTCTTAGTGTAACCTGCACAAAGCTGTAATGGGAGCAAATAACAGGTCCTTAACAGGTACTTATGGAAGTAACTGTTGATTCACCTATAAGCAAAGTATTATGGGAGTTTCCCATTTGAAAGTTGATGTGTTTTAGAAAGCACAAAAAGGACATATCTTTCAGACATTGTAAGTACTTTTTAAAAAAAGTTAATATTTCCACTGCATCACATACTTCTCAAGCTTAGGGTCCAAATGGGAGATGAAATGCTAAGACAGAAAAGTATCAAAAGCTTGGGAACCACAATTTAAAAAAACTTTTTATTTGAACAGTTTAGTCCAGAATCAGCGTCTTACAAAACAAGAGCAAAACTCTGCACATGTCCCCCTCTCCTCACTCACCTGTAGAAATTAGTCTTGAGTCTTCAAGAAAACACCCCTCCCCTCCCTGAGAAGCCAGACTTAATCCCTGGCAGTTAGCACAAGCTTTACTCTCTACTGACACAAGAAGCACATGCCATGGAGCAGCTCTTAAGATTGAGCGGATGAGATCAGAGATGAGAGTGCTCAGGCAGATGAGCCTATCAGGCAATGCACACTTCCTGGCACAAAGTTACACTGCTTAGTTTCAAGGTACCGACTGCTCTTTTCCCTTGTCTTCCCCACGTCCACAAAACATCAAGATCTGTCTGGATCTTTTCTCCTCATGGCCAAACGGAATATCAGAAAGCCAGTTTGTGAGTGACCCAAGTAGGAACGAAGTTTGCCGGTGAACCAACTCATATAAACACATCTCCATCTTGGAGATGGAAGACTGATTGTCAAAAGCACTCTGCAGCTGCTGAGGAGTTGGTTTTCACAACTGTTGTGCCTTGTGGACAGACAACTATTACCTGCTTTTTAAACCAAACAACTGTGGAAGCCAACATGCTGAAACACAGCAGCATGCTACTTGCCCCTGGCCATTCAGTCATCAGCAAACCCGAACTGCAAAACCTGCAGGCTGCCAGGTGTGCACTGCACATCTGTCAGACTGCCTTCTCATTGTTTGAGATGAAACATGCTAGAGATACAGAAAACTTAAAGTCTTTTATTTTTGAAAACTGAAAAATAAAACTTGATTGGTTTTGTTTTTTCTTTTTCAATTAAAAAAGATCTCTTAGTTGCCATCTCTTTTGCTGTCACCATTACACTTGAAAAAACTCCTCAATACGCCGCTTTTTTTTGGGACTCACTGAACATGTTTTTGCTTCTTTATCTTGCAAGACACTGTCAGAGTCAAACTCACAGCCAGCATCAGCTGCCTCTAAAAGCAAAGCATCATCAGCATCATCTCTGCTCTCAGAGAAGGTCCTCTGGAAAAGGTCATAGATGGTCTGCTGCTTTGGATCAGGCTGAGAAAACAGAACAGACAGAGTCTGAATGGACACTGTCATATAAAACCTAGTGAGCAACAATCACAGGATGCTCCCCCCGAGACAGTGCATTTTTGTGTACAGATCGTACTATGTATGATACACACACACACATATCTCATACATATATATACACTCAAAGACATACAAATGATATGGAGGCTAACACGTCTCCTTGCAAGCAGCAGGTTTGGAACATCTCTGTGGAGGGTCCAAGTCAAGACATAGATCCTGGGAGGTGCTAGAGAATCTGGTCCATGGCATTAAAGGCAGAACAGGTGTAAGGTCAGCCTGCCAATCTAGATTACACAAGCCAAAACCCGTTCAGCCTCTCCCAGGGACCACCAATATTCTTTCAGGTCAATTACCTTAGGACAGTAATTAGTGGACTCAGCTGTTTCAGAGAAATTGGTTTCTGAAAGACCAGCTTCGCCCAGCACTTTGATCTTCTCTTGAATCATTGGCCTAGGAGAGATAAATGAATTATTATTGAAAGGAAAAAAGCATCATCAAGGACACTGTCATTTACTATGTGTAGATGAAAAAAAGATATAACCAGGTCTGAAGATGTTTTTTCTACCAATGCCTGTTGATTCCTTAACCTGTCCTGCTCCTGTTTATGATGACTGTATGCTGTCTTGGGGTATCAGTCAATCCAGTTTAAACAAGTATCAGTCAATTGTAAGTAACAAGAAGAGGATTTAGGGCTATAAATATTTGGAGAACACACATATCCAACAGGGAAACTAGTTGACTAAGGCAACACCAATGGTATGAAGCCAGAACAAGAAGGTGCAGCTAAAGGGACTCTCAATAGCCTGTGTGTTCAGTCTCCAAGGCAAGCAGTGGTAATCCCCAACAACAGACACATCAGCATTTCAAGGATAACTCCCAATGTACAGCAGGAGGAAGAATCCATCACTGGCCCAAGAGGCAGAGGTCCCAGCTGCACCTGCAGACTGGACACTTTGAAAGGCACAAAGGCCATGGCACAATTAATGCATTAACCAAATAGCCTTGTCGTCTTGATCTTTTTCTCATCTTTAAAAAGAACGCCACTGTCCTTTCAAGAGCCATATTTCCTTCCCATTAAGCACTAATGACTGCACAGACAGCATTTCACAAATAAAGGCAGAATTACTGTCATTAACTTTCCATGAAATTTAGGCAATGCATCAGTTTCCAGATCCCTGCATTGTAGGGTTATAATTATTTGCCATCATGATATTCTGGGAACTGCACAAGTTCACTGAGTTCATTTGTTCCTTTAAACAAGGTAATAAAGATGTAATTTTGGACTTTAAATGAACCAGCTGGTGGGTAATTTCTTTTCATCGTTTGCAGGTCAGTTCCCTTGCAGCACTCAAGATTCCTCAGATCCTCCTCACCCCCAGATGTCAGCTTCCCCAGCCCTAAGGACTTGTGTCCACTGATGACCCTCATGGCAGCCAAAAGGACTCATACCACAACTATCCAGAGGTGGGTCAGTAGCACTTTTTTAATTCATCTGAAGGGCTCACCGAAGAGCAAGAGGACAGCAACAGTACAGTCCTCCTTCACAGCTCCCTGTCCAAGTACTCAGAAGCCAGGTTGCTCCTCAGACTGAATTTACAATACACTGAACCATTTCCAGTGTCTGCTGAGTCGCTTGAAAATACTCAGCACTTTACAGTACCCTAGCATAGTAATGTTATCTAAGACAACTCCTCCTTATACAGAGGCTGTAATGGTTTTAGATGCATCAGCTCCTCCAGATTTTCTCTTAAGGGCCTATTCTTTGTCGGGTAGCTACTTTTATTCCTTCTGCTTGTCAGCCACTTAGTCATGTCCACTGCAACCAGGCCATGTCACCAGCTCACAGTGGACCCGACTGGCACTTTTTGCTCCTCCCCTCACAGGCTGTGGAAATCAGCACTAACATTAAGCACCTCAGATCACATATGTGACAAACAGTGGAAAGCAGGTGGCAGGAGAACCAAAGCATCTTTCTCACTTCTTACCATAAGTAGTCATCTGCTGTGCCTCTAGCAACCAGGTAGTGAACATTAACGGAGCTGGTCTGTCCAATTCGATGTGCCCGATCTTCTGCTTGGATCAAAATCTTAACGTAAAAACATGACAAATACAAAGTGAGAACTGCAGCATCTAAGAAATAGTGTAAGCACCAGGGGACGGGAAGATCTCATTTCTTGTGCTTCGCAACTGTTTCTTATCTGGATCCTGTTAACACCTGTATCCTCAAACACAGACTAAGCCAAGAACCTGGTACACCAGGTTCCCAGCATCTTTCAAAAATAGAGGGTCAGCACTGAGGATGGACCCTTTCAGGTCTTGGTTTGGCCAGCTGAGAAGAGCTCTGTCAAATTAAGAAAGCATGTTTCCCTTTCATGTTATCTTCTCCAAGCCAGCAAGCTGTGTAACCAGCTTCACTGGTTTAAGCCCAGGCACCTGAGGTTGCAGAGATAGGAGACATCAGAGAAAGCAAGAGAAAAACCCTAGAGAAAGTCCCCTGCCCATTATATCTCCTAACCAGCAACATTTCTGCTCTCTAGGGAGCATCCAACCCCTGTCCCCTCCAGGACACTTACCCCTGGGTTCCAGAAGAGCTCTGCAAACACCACCAGGTCTGCAGCAGACAACGTAAGGCCCATGTTTGCAGCAGTGAGGGAAAGGACAGCCACAACCTGCTTCTCTGAGAACTGGAACTTTTGGCACAGAGACTGCCGCTCGACTGAAGATGTGGAGCCGTCGATGCGAATGTACTCAACGTGCTGTGAAAAGGCACAAGGTACTGTTCAGAGACCTTCTGTCCCCTTTCCTGTATATTCCTTCCATGTCTTAGTGGATACCATTTCCCTTCCCCATGGCAGAATCAGAAAAGTAAAAAGGCAAGTTATATTTTTAAGACTTTTCCTCATCTTTCAGGCAGAATACAACATACAGCTCAGTATACAACATACCTCCCCCTCTGTCCAGTGTGTGACTTGCTCCCATGCCCATTCTTCTCCCAGAGTCCAGCACAACAGGAAGGACAGCAACAAGCTCAGTTACAGTGGAAAGGCAATTAGCTTAATACAAAGCTAACCACTGTCTCTGTACTGAAGTTACAGCTGGTACAACCTCCCCGGCCTCCCTAAGTATTCCCCCATTTGCAGTGGGAGGGGATGTGAAGACATCTCAGTTGCTCTGTGGCAGGCTCAGGACAGGCATGGCAAACCTGTGTGATGCAGGGCCGTAACTCTTCAGTGTCCAATGCTGTCATAGAGCAAAGTCACCACTGCCACTGTGGTTTACAGGTTGGAATATTATCTTAAACCATTCTTCACACTGCCCCAGCAGGACCCACAACTCTTTAGGAGCATCCATGGAAGTCTCAAATGAAAAATTAGCCAAACAACTTTGGAGTCAAGAGAGATGATTTGCAGGTCTGCTGAGTCTCCCTACAGTGTTCCAGTTCAAAAACATAAGAGCACCACAGAGGTAAAGGCAGGCAGCCATAGTGGGCTTGGGTTGCCGCATTCTGCCTTCTGAGGAAAGCCTGGAGGACAAAGCAGAGACTGCCACACAGGGTAATAGTCCTCCAGGAATTCACAAGGTCCAGGAAAGATGATGGAGATTAAAGAACATTAATACAAAGTGCATTCTGTGAGGTATTCACCCTGACAGCTCAGCTCCCTTGGTGAAGGGCACATTCAGAAGCACACCAAGTAGAAATTATCTCTGCCACTAACTTTCATAAACTATCTGACCAGCCATAACTCCAGGGAGCTCTTAAACAGCTCTGAGGCTGGAACAGTGACAAAATTAAGGCAACTCAGTCAGTCAGTCACTTACTTTCTTCTCCAGCTCTGCAACAACTGCATCCAGCATTATCTTGTGATGAGCGAACACCAGGAATTTATTATTCCCACTTTCCAGTAACTCCAAGATGTATTCTCTACATGAAAGAGGAAAAATATGAAAACTCTATAAAATTATGTGCTGAGACAATACAGACTTGGCTCACAACAAATTTTGAAGACACTGCTCATCTACACTCAGGCACTAGGAAATTGGCTAGCATAAAGAAAGCTGCAGTAAAGTGCAAGTAGCAAGTCAAATCTCCTATAGATTAAAAATGACATTGAAGGGAAATTCACTCATTTTTTGATCACCACACCTGAACAGCTGCCTACTTTTATACTTGGGGATTAATGAAAATTAGTTTATTATATCCTACTTGAAACACGACATCCCAAACCAATCAACTGAAGGTCATCTATACTTAATGACAATCTCACCCATCCATATTTTTAACTTTTAAACAATCACAATACAGTAAAATATGCTGTATGCAATTATACTTTCTGCATTTAGTTAGGATTGTTTTTATTTTAGAAGAAAAGATCTCTAAACACATAGATCAGAATATCCTAAAAGTACCCTTCTCGCAAGGGTTCACATTGACAATTTACTCCAGTTTAACAATCTAAATACATCAGCTATTTCTAGGAGTTATCCATATGCATACAGGCTAATGGCCAATGAAAGGCAACAAGTCTCCTTTTAAATGCAGTTAAGAACTGTTAATTAAATGAAAACATCTGGCTTTTCCCATGGACTAATAGCAAAGCTACAGAACCCATGTAGTAACCTGTGTTACAATCAGGTCAGCTGGAGCCTATACAGACGACACAAATGTCATCTTTTCTTTGGAATAGCAAAATTGTTACGAAGATCAGGAATACCAAGTTCTTTGCTAAATACAACATAATTTAAGTCAGCAGCAACTGTCAGAAAACACCAAGCAGGATTTCCAGTGCTGTGTTAAGATTTATCAGTTCTTTGCAGACAACCCCCAGGGTTCATGATGTTCAGATCCCAGTTAATGAGAGTATCATTTAACAAAGAAATCTGGGAGGGAAGTGGGACTGCTGGATTTTAAAACAAACATCAAAGCAAACATTCAGTGTAGTAAGCAGGTGCCAACCAACACATCACAATTATTTTATACCTCATTCCCATATTCCATTTAACAAATGGCAAGTCATTTCAATGGAAGCAATGGAAGACCTGTCAACAAGGGTAAAATATGGGAAGTGCTGATGATCATGGGACAGTACCTAATTTCCTAGATGGTACTGTACTTTAGCAGCTTATAGTAAGTGATATTTTAAATGCTCCTAAACCCTAGGAAAAAAATGGACAAGTTCCTACCAGAGAGTCAAGTAAACAACACTTCATGGTTTTACATTCAGTTCATATTTGCAACTGAAATAAAAACAAGAAAGTCTTCCAACTGCTCACTAACATAAAAGGAAGAAACTCTTCTACAGAAATGAGCACTGGGACACTGAAGTGCAGTTCTGTGCCAAACAGGCAAATTTTGCAATAAGGTCTGAGACTGTGAAACCACACAGTGCACATCAGCTGGTCCTTACATTTAGAGAGCTGTGGAAAGTAAACTGTTTTCATGTTATTATCATACTGCTTATTAGAAAGTTACGCTAAATGACCTAAAGCAACTCCTTTGCAGCCCCAGCAGAAAGGCTAAGGATGAATGGGCACAGAAAGTCACAGAAGGAAATTACTCCTAGGGAAGAGAGTTAAAAGCACACCTATGGTACAAAACTCACTACTGAGGTCCCAAGTGAGCCCTGTGGAACAGCCAAGAATTTCAGTAAGGGCTGTGAGATTCTTCGAGCACATTCCAACTAAAGTTCAGTCTATCTCAGAAGCTTTTTGATTCAGCATTCCTGCTGCAGCAGGACTACAGGATTTGTTTCCTCAAATTCTGTTGGTACTTGTAAGTTTCATTGCTCCCTCCCTCCTTAAACTGAAATAGGGTCCAGATCAGGGAACTTGGTCCAAGTCCCAAACATCAAGTAATTTTAGATGGTTCAAATGACAGTTTAGATCCATATCTGGAATGAAATCAGAAGACTTATTCAGCCTAGGAACTCTGAGAGGAGAAAACGTTTAGTGCATTGTAATTAACATCAATTTTTTCTAGGCTGACTTCAGGCTATGCTTCATGTCCCTGCACTGTTATCTCTAAGGCACTGTTTCCTGTTCTCAGCAGACAAACATTTCACGAGGCAGGAATGGAGCAGTGACACACAGCTTACATGACTGAGCGGATTTTAGCTTCTGCTGTTCTGCTGAAGAAGACGAGAAGAGCTTCCTTCTCCTGTTGTTTCTGTAAAGAGAAAGACAAACGAATTTGAGTCTCAAAAATGCCTTTTCTCCTTCTTGCTCACAGATCTGGGATATCTGCTGCTGCCAATAAACATTTTGCTAGGAAAAAAAACCAACATAAAATGCACAATAGAAGCCTGGAGGGGGAAGTCTCCTACTCACCTCTGGGTATGGCAGATACTCACACATTCCTGACACCTCCCTTTCTACCTCCTACTCAAACTCCTACAAGTTGGATGACAAGTATATCACAAATGCAGCTTTAGTTGAGAAACAGCAAGGAAAAACTCCCAAGTTCTTACAGAACTGTATTAGCAACCTAGGAGCCTAGAACATGCATTTACCATCCATACATGGAAAACAAACAAGAGAAGTAAAGGCACACTTCACATTTTTGGCTACTGTTCTGTTCACAACACAGCTTAAACAAGGCTGTGTTTTGATAGGCTGAATGAGATTACAGGGCTAGACAGAAGAGTAGATACAGAGGCAAGAGGTCTGAAACACAATTAGAAATTATTAACACGAGAGAAAAAAAGAGAGGAAATGGTATTTCACACAAAGGGACAAAGCAGACCACTTACATCAAAAGCAAAACAAGATGAGCAGTTTTGATTGTGCTGTACATTCACTTGAAACTGTGTCTTCACATAAGGTGTGGTTCTGACCTTCTTTGGAACTCAGGTACTGTTTTTAGCTGATGTTTTTGAATAAAGGTACCTGAAATAGCAATGGCTCATCACAAAAATAGTTTCTGACTTACACTTTTATATCCTTTGGCCATCCTTTTTGCTTCAGCTTCCAAGACAGCTTTGGTCTTTGCGTTAATGCCTTCAGGAGCCACCACAACCATTTTGCGTTGCTTTGCTGGAAGCTGGGAAAGCACATCTGATTTCAGACGTCGGATCATGATGGACTCTTCCAGCAAAATTTTCAGTTCAGTTAAGTTGGATGATCCAGAGTAGTCCCAACCCCACGGCATCTGGGAAAGATCAAAGCAGTTATCAGTGACAAACTTACAAGAGACTGGTCTGCAGGCAATCCAAAAGCAGAATAAATGTCCCAAGAAACTGGACAAGGTAAGAACTTAAGGGTCAGGAGGAAGAGATATTTCATAAAAATGGCCGTAAGATAAAAACATACAAACTAATCCACCCAAGGTGAAAAGGTTACTTACAAATTCCCCTATCTACAAGTGCTCAGGGAGGTGCAGGGAAGGGGACTATGCAGAAAGGTGGCAGGGATCCCTACTGCAGCACTACGCTCTGGTATTCATCCTCACACAGCAAGGTGCTGCTCTCCACTTGCAGCTTTGAGCAGGCCAAGAGAACTCACTGGTTTCTGTGCATGCACATTTATCTCAACTTTAAGCAGAGAGACACACAAAAATCTTCTCTAACAGCATGAGGACAAACATCCTTAACCAAGATGCCTTCATAGAGTTGTTACACTTGTCTGACATGGCAGGTCAAAATTGCCTGTATTCCACTATGATCTGACTCTTGATCCACTTCCTGACATACTCTGTTTCTGCCATTACATGTTTGGTTCAAGCTCAAGCAAACCATAAATAAACTGTGGCCCAAAATACATCACTCCAAACACTGTCTCTTCAAAGTATCATCATTTCAAAGCTCCTTTGAACAAGCCCTTCATTTACTCCTTGAAATGCTCCCCTCTGAACCCTATCCTCTAAGATCCTGTCTGCAGGCAATACACATCTGTTCAATTAATCTCAGCTCATCACTTCTCCTACTTGTAATTCCACAGCCTATCATTTGTTCTCTGAGAAAGAACAACTAAGCTGACACACAGTGGCATCAAAATTGGTACATTCCCCAAAAGAAGCATCTGTAAACAACCTTCTTTTGGAGAAGAGACCCATAAGGTTTTAATGCTGAAGCAAAGGCAAAAGAAAAACCTTTCTGCTGAAATTTCACAAATAAGGGCAGGAAATATAGCTACGGTAATACTAAAAACCAAGGTGGGGAGGGAGGTGAAATCTTCCTCACAGCTCTAATTCCAAGTCATATTGGCAGTGTCCAAAAACACAACCTCTGGTCTTGGAATAACAATCCAAAGTAAACCACTGCATATGGATGCAAATTCACTCCTGAAATGCATACAATGGAGGTGTGGGGAGCCTCAGCACCAACCCCTTTGATCTACTGCTCTACTCTTATTGTGCCACATTATTTGCTAAAATAGATTTAACCTTAAAGATCTATATCTCCTTTATTTGTCTTCCCCAAGAGAAACCTGCTGCAACACAGAAATGGAAGTAAAATAGAAAAAAGCTCCAAAGTATTCACTGCACCCTCCATCCTCTCACAGAATGCATAAGACAAAAACCAAATCATACTAACCATGGGGTTAGTCACATTTCTGACTGTATTAAGAGGTGGTGCTTTGATGAAACAGGGATGAGAACATGCTGTGGGACAGGAAGAAGAGCAATCAAACAGCTTATAGGCAAGATATCTTTGATATCAAAGATATCTGGAAGTGAACATTCCTACTTCAGGTTGAGATAAAACAGGACAATCTGCAGTTCTATTGCCATGTTGTACTGATGTGAACCATTAACTGACTTCAGATTCTGGAACTTATGGCCACCATTAAAACTCATTTGACTTAATCTATTCCTACATAATTATGGTACCATCTGATTAGCTACAGTTGGTTCATTAAAGCAAGAAACAATTCAAACCCTAGACACAAAGCCGTTTTAAATCTTGTAGAATTAAAACTTTGGCTCTGACAACAGCACACTGGTGTACAGCTAGAGGTAATAAGCCCACCTGGATCTCAGCCAACCCCTCAAAAAGCCAACATGGGTATCACTGCTCTGCTTCCCTGAAACCAGAAGTGCAAGATACATCCCTCAGGTCTGTGAAGAGCCAGCTCAAGTCTAGCTGGGCTTATTAGCTTTAGGCACTCTGCAGGAAAGCTGACAATGCTAAGCCACAGTCTTTGTGCTCCCTTTCTGCATTACTTCAGGCTCCATGGGCCCAGCAGAGCAGCTGTACAGAACCAAGGAGGAACCACTGGGCTGTGCCCAGCCTCCTAAGCCCACTGCCCACACTGCTCAGTGCACTGGTAGCTACACTGTAGAGATAACTCAGATTAGGCTACTCAGCGAGACCTACTGTGGGGTCTGGACACTCCTCAGGCTGCCTCATTCTACTTATGGAGCCCATGTTTGTCCACTTTCCACTTCCATAACAAGCAAGTAATACATATGCTTTGTGTCCATGTAGCCCAATTAATTTCAGAAGAGCAACATCATCATCAGAGAAAGAACAAGGCACACAGAGAGCCAATATACCATCTACTGAGATATTGTAAGCTCATACAGGCAGAGTCCCTACAGTACATTCAGATTATATATTTCTTTCATGGTGCTGGAACAATTTGCAAACAAGGAAACATGCTAGCTCTGTGTTGCACCTAGTGATAAAAAGATAATTATTTTTGGAATTATTAGAATTAAGTTTAGTATACCCTATTGTGGAAAAGAGAAAAAAAGAGGGACATTTATTTTGCCAAAATACACATCTGGCTTTGATCCATAACATTCCAGAACACATGCTTCCAACTGTGATTTTCTTACCAAACTGTTACAGCATCTTACATGAGTCAGTAAACTTATTACAGTGTTAGCAGAAGCTGCCAAACTCTTACAAATTCAGAGCATGTGCTCAGATAGAAATTATTTAATATTTGCCAACATCACCCAGTTCAAAAAATGAATTCACAGCATGTATTTTGGGAAACAGACTTGAGATAGTCTGTAAATAACAGGTAACATTTCACTTGTTGTATTTTTAAGAATACAGATGCTAGGAGGTTGAATTACAAAATTATAAACTTTAATATCTTTTCTAATAAAATCTGCCAGATATTTGTAATTTTCTGTCACAAAATCTATTATCTTGAAACAGAAACGAGTCAGGCTTTAGTTTTAGGTTGAATGGTTTGGGTTTGCCAATTTTTCTTTAATCTTATAATGCAATCAGATTTATTATTAATACCAAAACATTTTTACATAGCACCTTTCATCCTGACAGATCTTCAAAAGCCTTGCAAAACCTCTCTGGTTCTGTGCAATTCCATCTCCACTCATAAAGCTGCTATTTTCAGGACAGAAAGAAGGACATATTTAAGTAATGACAGCAGAAATACCACAACAGTTCCACAGAGAGGATGTAACTCCTAACACAGTTTCAGGTTAGAGCTGCAAAAAGGAACATGAGGAACAGTCTACAGTCATGAAAGAACAACTACAATCATCAAAACACCTTTTAAATTTATTCATTGCTGAGTGGATCTATGGCAATCCAATATTCAGCAGTCCCATTTTTTCCTCTAATACTATGCACATCTCTTCATTTCCACCAGCCCCACTTCTCCAAATAATCAAATTCTTTCAAGGTTCACTCTATCACTGACATTAACTGCAGCAAAATATCTCAGGTGAGCATGGAGAAGACCAGCAACGTTCAACTGTTTAGTAGAGACAGGTCAAACAGAGAAAAAAAATTGTACTAGAAACCCTGCTAAGGTTTTGAAGGGAAGCTGATACAGACTGTGACCTCCATGCTGAGTTTCACTGCAGGTTGAAAACTCATTTACACAGAGTACACTGTTACAACCTGGACCATGTAAGACTATTTTATTTCTTATATCCAATATCCTACCCGAGGTCTGTGTGCCTCATAACTGAAGCAACGGGTAGTCATGCAGAACTTTACCCCTAAAGGGTTTATGAAACTTCAAACCTATTTGGACTCACATGCTGCAAATCAACTTTCCTTTTTACTGCAGAAAACCAACAAGATTGAACTGTATCTCTTTATTTTTCTCTAGGAAGCATTCTGAACACTACTCAGAAAGGAATCTTTCAAAAAAGACAATGAAGCTCAGCAGAAGATGTGACCCTTTCCCTCCATATGATTACCTACTATGGATGGAGTCTAGGACTCCAGCTCTGTATCCATGATTCTGCATGCTAATGGCCTTAATCTAATCAACGGCATCAGCACACGAGTACCAAAGCCAATTAATTGCTCCTCTGGGTTGCACATTTGAACATACATAGAACAACACTACACTGGCTATGAAAGCAAAAGTGGGTATTCAGACCTAGGAAAAAAGGAACTCGAGAATTTTATGTAAGACTGCAATAAGAATCTTCTTGAGGAAAACCTGGTATATGTTGGCTACCCCAAACAGAAAAGAAAACAAACACAAAAGCCCAACAAATAGCTGTAACTATTTTCATGGCATACAGTGATGATGTTCAGTTCTTCCGTAAATATTTTTGAACGTGAAATGGTCATTTAGTGTTTCCAACCACTCTGCTGCAAATAGTTTCCCAGTCTTACAGACAATGAGGCACAAGAAGTTAAATGGATTACTCAAGAACAAAGCAGAGTGTACAAGTTTGTGCTACAGGTGCATCCTCACACTGCCAAGCCATTCTGTGCCACGTGCTAACTACTACATGCTTGTCCTGGAGGAACTGGAGGGCAAGACAAATTAGAGGGGTCTTATTCCAAACCAGAAGTCAGGGGAACTTTGGTTTCCCCTTTTGTGTCTATGCAACCAGCACAGAAGATCCCTGAGCCTCCTTGTAAAACAAGCAGCAGCAAAAGCTGTTCTTTTAGCAGTGTGTGTTCCAATATACACAGCAGCCCTAGAGATGGCAAATCCAAGCACAGCTGAGTTGCCCATACATTGGCAGCAAGGCAGACACCTGCCATCATGGCTGCAAATGCTGGCTTCCTGCAAAACCAACATCTTGCAGTGGTTGGATTCAATGACTCTATGGAAACTACTGCTGAGCAACTGGTTTCAAGATATGCTGGGGATCACATCCATTTCCTGAATTAGAAGAGTGGAATACAAAGATGGACTATAATCCTCATTTTTACTTACCTGGAGGTATAAAATCCAAAATCCCAAGCAACATAGGCCTTTATCAAAGTGACTAAAGCAGACTAGAAACTGGATTTTTGGTTTTGTGATTTGTAATCAATTAGCCCAAAACTGCAGCTGCTTAAAGCCCCCATATTACTCTGCCCATTTAAAACACTCTGGGGGGAAGATTTTATCAGAATAGGCTCCTTTCACCAGTTATGGCCATATTTGTTTCTTTTTTCCAAGCTTTTATTTCTATGACTTCCATGGCAGATTTTGACAAGAAACATTACCACCTCCATGTTTCAGGCCCACCACTGCAGGACCCAGATCTTCTCAGCTTAAGAGCTTTCAAAATGTTACTCTGCAGAGAGACTTTCACACAAGAAAAGATGTAACATCAGACAGAAAGAAGAAGGAAGAAAAGAAAAAGCCTCCACATTTTGAATAAAATACAATGCTGTTTGCAGAGTCCCAGTCTGCCACTTTCCCCACTGAAGTACCTTTCTGGCATCACAGTAGCGTAGCCCAAAGGAGTGGAATTGTGGGAAAAAAGATGGCTGGACAGCCGCGATCTGCGTGTAGAGCTCCACAGGCCGTGACATGGCAGGGGTTCCTGAAAGCAGGATCACTCTCTTGGCAGCCTGGGAAAGCAAAACAGCATCATTATCATACAGCTTACAATATAAGAAAAACCTAAGTAATCACCCCAGTCCCAAAAAACCCCCAGGCCCCTGTTCAAGTACCCTAAATGGAAGAGTATTTCACCTTCCACAGATACTTTCAGCCATCACTATCTGCAGACACTCAAGGACAGTACTTAAAACTTCTAGGGAGCAGGACAAACCCTACAGTTCCTTATTAAACATCCACATGCTTTTAGGGAATGGGGCATCCATCTTTATTACAGTACTTTCTGAACTGGCATTTACCCACTAAACACATTAATATCTTAAGCCTGGCTGAACATTTCATTTGGCATCAGATGTCATAGGAACATGACACACCCTCTCAGGTACGTCCCCACCTCCAAAATAAATTCTCTCATAATAAAGTTGCCACAACAAGCCATAAGCAGACTGTCTTTCTAACAAAAGCAGAAGAACTAGGATTTTTTTTCTTACTTCTTTTTTCATTTTTTTTTTACATTCTACTACAAGGAGGAAAAGATGAAGCTGTCTGAAGCAGGACCAGAAGATCTGACAGCCATGGTGAGTCCAGGCACAGTTGGCTGGATGCTAGAACATGACTCAATAAACACAAATCATGCAAGAAGACTGTAAAACATGCTGTAGGGGAGACAGGAAGAGGGTGGGAAACCTGTACATAAAGTAGGTGCTCCTAAAAAGTGAAGGAAAAAATTACACTATAGACATGAAAGTCTCCAAGATGCACTTCTACTTTCATACTTTCACTATTAACTAATTCTATTATTAGGTGAGAGCTACGAATTTCTACTGCTATAAATTCACATATAATACTTAAATTACACATGCCTTGCGATTTCCTGCATGGTTTAACGCAGGTTCATTAAAATAACAAAGAAATTCTTGAGTGACATCTGTACCAACAGCTCATTCACATTTAAATGAAAAGGAAAATGAAATTCTTTTATCACTTCACTGAGATCAACAAGCCACCCAGCTCTATTCAGCTGTTTCATGCACTCGCCAACCAAATCTGGTGGAAAAAGAGTTCACAGATCAGCTACCGGAAATTAATTTCAGAACTCTATCAACTATTTATATACAGGTTGTGATCAGTGTGGGACTTGCCTTTTCTAGTCATCCCTATTAAATGGATCAGAAAGAAATGTGACCACCACTAGGATCAGACAATTCCCATGAACATTAAAAAAAGCAGTATGTTTCTTGAACTGAGTAAGAGAGTTCCTTTGGACATGTCAGAAGGTAAGAGTTAGTTTGCCCAAGACAGAGGTCCCTATGCTACTCAAAGGAGGAAGGAGTCACAGAGACTAAAGATATCAGATGCCATGAGGAAACAAAGTGATCAGGCATAGGTCAGCTTTTAAAATTAAGGTAACACTGGAGAACAACTGAGCAGAACCTAGACAATATCTGATGCCTTGCAGAAGCCTTTGAAGAGCAAACTGACACCACCCTGAGAAATCTGCTGAAACACAAGACAAGCCAGTCCCATGAGTACAAGAAACCTCCATATTAAAGTTGTTCCTCCTAGGCCAACAGAAGGCCATCACCAGAAAGAAAGAAAACATAGAGGTCATGCAATTGCAGACATCTCATTTAAAATAACTGTGGATCAAGCTAAAGAAAGGAAAGCACACTCAAAACAGACCAGGGACATAATAAATGCAACATAAACCCAACTGTGTTGAAAGGTTTTATGCCATTCTCAAGGCTCTTCCTCTTTAGAGGGTTTCCCTGGGAGCTACATGAGATGAGGTTGGAAGACTAATTCCCCAGTAGTCAGGGGAATTAGTCAGGCTCCTTCCCCAATCCCTAAATAGGTGTCAAAAGAGAAAATTATGAAGTTACAGGTTACTTGAATTCTAAACTTTTCCAGCTGCTGTTTTGCTGTGTGTCACCTATTTCTGAGCAGACAGGGTATCTATCCAACCACTGCAAGCTCGTACTAAGGGCTGTGACACATCTTCTGATTAACCATTTTAAACAAACTGAAAAGTAAAAAACCCCGACAATAACAAAAAAAATGAACAAAAACCCCAAAAGACAGTGACTCTACAAGAGCTGGGAAGAACTTCAGAAATTAATTCCAGAAAACTGTGCAACATAGGTGGACTAACTCATTATCCCAAAGGTCCCTTTCAGTTTTAAAACCCATGACAGATGAAGCTCAAGAAAGAACAGAAGAAAAGAAATCCTAAGAAGACAAATTTCCAAGTGCTAAAGGCTGACTTAAATTCTGGATGAAAGAAATGGGTTTGATTCCCATTTTTTTTCTAGTGGGAACTCATTTTGAATAGATGCCAATAAAGATTTGCTCCTGCAGAGATGTCTCTGCTGATCACTGCTTAATTCTTGTTTCCTGCTGAACCTTCTGTGCTGCCAAGAGTGAGAGCTTAGCCTCTTCCTTCTCAGGTCTGTAAGAATAATATGGAACAGCACCACAGAAAGTAAGATTGCAGGGACCAGAAAGGACTTTCTAGCAAAATCAGATCTGTAAGCAACTGATATATATTTCCACATAGAAGAACTAACATTAGCTGCTCAGTTGAATTGAGGTATGGAATTCACGGAGCTACTGGAGACCTGGTTTGCAGTTCTCATTTACTAAGTAAGGTGAGACAAATATGGCTTTGTAGCATTTCACAATACACCAGCAAGAATTAATTCCACAGGTGTGAGAACATTTACAAAAGTCACTTTTGAAAGTCAAAGAATAATTTGTAAAATGATGGCACTTACTTCAGAGGTCAAAACGCAGCAATCAACCAATTTGAACGGAATAGGTGAGGAGGAGGGGTTATGCGACAAACAAATAATTGAACATGCAAAGAGCCTCATTAACATACAATGACTGTCTCTGTGTTAAATGAATTTCACAGCATGAGCTCTGCCATATGCTAACAGACTTGACATACTTTTTTAAGTAAGTGTGGCTGGTTCTGGCTGTACAATTACTTGTGTCCCCAGTTTTTGCTTACTGTGCCATTTTGAACTACTTAGCATAAGAATAGCTTATCCTCTGAAATGAAATATCTGAGGGGGGCCATAATGTAATAATCACCTGATGAAGTAAAAGATTTGATAAAGGGAAAGAGTAGCAGCTGTTTTGAGGAATCTGTTTCTATAGGGCTGTGGATTTCATAAGATGATCCTACAGTAGTTATTCCAAAAAATATAAATACCTTTCCCTACTCTTAAGTGACATCTAGACAGACAATGTGTGTCAAACAGCAGTGATAAGCTATGACTGAAGCAAATTACACTACCTTCTTATTCCAAGAAGGAAGGGAAATTGCAGGGTAAGAGCAGATCTGAAGATGCAGCCCTGAGGGCTTCTTCAGTTTCAAGATGAAGTTCCTTCTCTCAGCAGGTGACAAGGAAAGGCTTATTTATCTAATCCATACAGATCTGTAAGACTTAAAGACAACTGCTGTTTATTTCCCACTGGAAAGGGAAATTTGTGTTTTCTCCTCACCTTCTACCTTCAGCATTGACCTGTTTCCCTTCATTATTTTTAAGTTGCTCTATTAAAACAAGAACAAAGGGTGTATTTTACTCCCCTAACAAAACCAAGGACCTTTAACCCAAACATCAGGATGTGCATCATGCTGTTAACTGGAATAGCAGCTCAATGGGAACAGTCACATTATTAATATTACTCAAATGTTGGAGAACAATGCCCATCGAGAGCACAAAGGGAATAAGAATATTTAATGCCACTGGAATTTTTTATTAGATATTACCTTTTATTTCTCAATTTATAACCCAGTTCTTCACTAGTTACTGTCATGCTTCCAAAAAACTCATCCATTTTCCATTGGGACCTTCCCTAGTTTCCACTGCATTGCAGTACTCCATGCAACTACAGAAGAATAAAGACCATGCAGCACTTTGACTGGTCAAAAGAGGTAGAATCCTTTTCAATCTGGTCCCTAAGAGATCCCACTACAGATCAATGAAAAACTTCTGTTTTGCCGTTTCTTCTCCATCTACATTGTTGAGGCTTTGCTGTTTTAAGATACTGGTAGCATGTATGCTCCCTCTCCTATGTTTATGTCTCTGGGTCAGTCTAATCTTTGAAGGAAAAAACAAAATACTTATAATAGGTGTAACACCATTGGCACTCTCTGCCTCTAAGGGAGGCAGATGCACGGCAGAGGTGAAGGGTGCAACCAGTATTATCAGTACATCCAGGAGAATTTAGTCACACAAACATGACACTACAGAAAACAGCAGGTGACAAGTAGGTCCTAATACCAATTGCCATAGCTTTCAATTAAGGGTAAGGACAATCCAGGCCTAAACAGGACAAATCAGGCCTAACCACTCAATCAAAGCCCAACAGGATGAAGCCATTCTCACTTTGATGTCCATGGAAACAAGACAAAAGGACCACTTTGAGCACAGCAACTTCTAGCCCTCTTGAGTACTGTGAGAGGTGCTGCAGCTGGGGACAGATTCACGCAGCTGCTGGCACAGACCAGCCAGTGTGAAAGCTGGCTGACCTTGGAAGCAGGGGTTTTGCCACTCCATCAAACATCAAAGGACTTTTTTCTACTACAACTTTCAAACCATCCTGCTTCATAATTTTGTAGGGATGCACACAGACTGTGTACAAACTCTGCCACCTGCTTCCACGCAGGCGGATAAAGCATTCTCCTCCATGTACAAGTCTGCACACCCACAAGTTTGCACATCCACTGGGAACATGAAGGGAGTAAGAAATCTGGCCTAAACATCTTGCTGCTGCTGCCATTTCACCTTCTTACTGTTTGTGCAATTACAAGTTCCTCTCAAAGTTCTGTCCAGTAACAATAAATTGGGCACAACATGTCTATATACTTACTCTAAGCTAATGACAACCTGGGGCAGGCTGAGGCAGCAAGCACAGCCACTGCATACATCCAGTCATTATAAAAGTTCTTCTGGTCACAGCTCCCACTGTCTCAAGCAAAACTTTTCTAAATCTCTGTCAGGGTAGCAGCCAAGTATGTCAGAAAAGATACAGAGTACTGCATACACAGAGTTTGTGGCTTTTGTTAGTATTAAAAATATGTCCAGAATTCCCAACTGACAAACTTAGGTCACATGTTTAATACATCGCTTTCCTTGAGAATTCCATACCACACTTGTACTGCAATATATACAAGAGAGCAGGAAAAGATGAATTATTATTATTGAGTGGCTAAAAATACCATTTCATTTTGAAAACTGGTCAATGTCAGATATTAAAACTATAATGAGGCTTTAAATGCCGTAACCGTGGGTTAAATATTTCAGACGTGGAGATTCAGTTTGGCTGTCTAACAAGAGAGATTTAAAATTAATATCCAAGGTAAGTCATCTTTATTATGAATGTACTGATTTAATCTGGTTACTGTGAAGTTCTGTATGAACACTTGCAACAATTTATGTATTTTATTTATTATTCAAATGGAGAAGTCACAAGAGCAAATTCTATCAGGATAACAAGTTTGGATGGAAGTGACAGACATATTCCTGGCTCAAAAACATTTTAACTGAGATCTGTCCAGTGTCATTATGGACTCATAAATCTTTGTAGCATGTAAGGACCAAGGGCGGGGTTTTTTTATGTCTCTAAAAGTTCAAGGCTAAGCTTTCATGCCTTAGGATGTTGGGAACCTCATAGGAATATAAGCAACTATGGCAATTTCAGGCAGTTTGAAGTAGTATAATGCTAATAACAGTTAAAAGTAGCAATGCTTAAAAGGCAGACAGCCAAGGCAGGAGATAGCTCCAGGGGCTCTGGATACAGCACTGGCATGGCTTCACATTGAGACCTTAAGGTAGGGATGAGGTGCTAGAAGCAGTTTATCAAGGACTTCCCTATAGATATCCCTTTTTTTGGTCTCTTCTAAGAGCCCCAGTACTGCTCTAATCCTTTTAACATAAAGAAGGCAAGCAAGAATATTATCCACAGCAGCATGTTTATCAATGCCTCTTTTTCAATAATTTCAAAGTATCATGTAAAATACTGAAAATACTCCCTGTTAACCCATTGACTGTTAACTGTAAAAATGACAATACAGTTGTTAAATCTAGTATTCAAGTGATGAAAGCTCCTGATATTTTGGCAGTTCTTTATATACAAAAGCATTGGTGTGAAGTGCTGTGCCAGTAGCGAACACAGCATCGCTCACTAGGAGCTGAAGGCAAAGCTGCCAAAGGGGCTAGTTTTAGAGCAAAATGCCTATGTTGGAAATGAAGGAGGGCAGAAAAGTGCCTATTAGAGCAAATACTCAGGTCAGAAGTATTTGCTTGTCAGCAAGCAGAAGAATAATATTTACCTGAACATCTAACACAAAATAGCTGGCACTGCATGCTGAGTGCAGGTGAGATAATGCACGAACATGAAACTCTTAATGCTGGAATTCAGTTTCAGAAGCATCAGTTCTCAATTCTTTAAGACCAGTGATGTGACAGCATAAAACTGTAAATTCTCAGTAAGTGCATACAGGCAATTAACCTCTGCCTAACAGCTACCATCTTTCATTCTCATATCTTGTAGCCTGCAAATAATTCTGACAAGCTGATCCTAACAAAGCTTCATGTAGGAAAGGATAAGGCTGCTTTTTGAGCATTTTGCAATGAGGTAAATTTGTTATTTTCCACCGCTTTCAGACAGATACCCTAATTATTGTATTTCAAACTACTCTTAAAATTGGACCTCCTACTTGGTTTCCAAACATTAAAAGTCTTGAAGTGATTTGAAAACCAAGAGAAGACAAGAGTCAGGCCTTTAAGGAGAACAACGAAATTATTCAAGGACAACCACTTTCAGTTTGCCATTAAGAATCTTGTTTATGAAAGTTGGTTGCTATAAAGCCATCACACATCGAATCTTCTCTTTATACATACTTGCTGATTAATTGCTGAAGAGGAACTGCATGTACCTTCTTCTAATGTACAGACTCTGCAGTGTCTAGAAACTACCCATAACTTTAATCTGTATCTGTTAGAGGCCAGCAAGGAGAGTTCGATTCTTTGATCCCAGGATAACAGGAAAACATTAGAATTTGCATTTTTCCTGTTATCACATAATTGACTACTGCCTCCCTTCTGTGGGCCACTTGTCTTGCTAACCTCACATTTTGCCATTTCCTAGTAGTTCTGTACATGTAACCAGCAGGAATGATCCTGAGCCCCAGCCACACAAATACATTGGAAGCTTGCAGTAACAGACTAGAGCCCTAAACCAAAGCCAAGGAAGGGACCTAGGCAATGTCATTCTTATAAACAGTAGCAATTTGTGTGCCAAGAAGTAACTGATGATTATTTTCATTAAACAAGCTGTGTTGACATCACTAGACTCTTTCTACTCTTTCTGAATATATTTGGTAAGTTTTGATATTCCCTTTCTTCTGTAACCATAAAACTCATCAGTGGCAGTACCACAATGAAATCAAGGGAGCTTCTGAAGTTGTTTTGTTAGGTCTTGCCATCTAATATTTGTATAGAAACAAGGAGTAAAGCCAGAGACAAATTTTGCTTTTGGATCTACACTTTTAGCTGGATTTCCCCTTGAACAATGCAAGAATTCAGCTGCTGGCTCCTAAACCTGGTGAATGAAGCAACACTGCTTCGGGAGCCTGGCCTTAGCAGTTTGATCCTTCGAGGTTTGCCACCAGCACACGCACCTTGAGTAGAGGCATGGCAGCTCGGCATCGTGCAGTTTTTATGTTCTTTAGGAAATGAGATTCATCCTGAAACAAAACAGGAATGAAAGTAAGTCAGTTCTAATCCATAGTACAACTGCAGGTTACAAAACAAATTGCCAGTATTCTCAGCTATCTAGTGTTACAAGCCTCTCATGTCAGAGGATATTTCAGGCACTGGGATAGGCACATCAAATTCTAAACAAAAAGGATGGAGAGTAGCAGGCTTCCAACATTCAAAACTGCAACTGCAAGCAAATGGAACAGAAACCAAACCTGGCAGCCATGAATCATAAATGACCGCAAAAAAACATGTGAGAAGAGGGGGCTGGAGAGAGAAGGAGAAAGGAATATTATTTTCACCACTGATACTCATTTGCCCCTATGTATCCTTTAAATGCAGCAAACATAGGAGGCCTCTACAGTGCCAGTTCCCTTAATAAGGGGTGAATGAAAATGATAAAAAAAAAAAGAAATCCAATTAAGACCCAACTGTTCTGCTGATAGGGCTCACCAGGTGGGTAATAGTTTCCTACTTAAACATCACCCTCAAACAGGCTTCATTTCTACTGCTGTAGCAAGGCAGAACTTAGACACAAAAAATAATCAGTGCCCTCCAAAGGTACATTCTCATCTTTCCACGTGTGTAGAGGCAAGCAACCATACATGCAAAGACAGTACAACTGCTTAGCCTCTCAGGCCCAGGCTTCTCCCTCCTGATTAACAAATAAGCTACATTAATGTTCCCAGGCATCAAAAACACTGGAAGAAAAAACGGGAAAGCTCAGCACTCAATAGGACTATTCTCTTCTGTAAAAACATCCACAAGGTCCAAATTTGAACATATAAACACAGAGAAAGAACATTTGCCAGTTCAGGGCTGGTAAAAAGTTCCAGGGCAGTAGAGCCCAATTCCATCCCCAGTCTACAAAAGCAACAGAATTTCCTGTCAGAGAGTGTGTAAGGGAAAAAATATAAAAGTGAAAAAATCAATTCCCTCATGAGTAGTTTGGTCTCCAAAGAATTCCACCTATTACCACGTTCTCATCTAATGCTGAGAAACAAAAGGATTACTATGTTCCAATTGTCATATCTTTGGACAGGTGCATGTGCACTGAAAACTAGACTAAGAACATCAAACACTCATAGTAAGCTACCTATACACTTTTGCTCTCTATTGATCCAAGCTGGATTTGAAACACTAGATGTTTCGAATTTTTAGTAACTGAAATCCAGAAAAACGCCTTTTACTGTGGCTCTGTAAAAGGATAAAAAATGGATTTTGAAGTAATTCACAAAAGAAACGATACAAGTGATCAAAGAAGACTTAATGCAGATTGTCAGTGGAACACAAGCAAAGGGAGATTTTTTAGATGCTTTACCCACATACTTGATTGTTGAGAAGTTATCTGGTTTACTGGATAAACAGTAACATCACCCTGAAGTCCAATCCCCTTAAGATACAATTCCAAGACTATTGTGTTGACGCACCATATTAAACACCTTTCTCTCCAGCAGAGGACATGACCAACCACAATGAAATCAGAGAGGCACCATAACCAGTAAAAGCGAAAACACAGCCTCAGGAATCAGAAAAAATTATTTCAAAAGGTTTTAGAAAAACCTCCTTGTACTCAAGAAGACAGCTGTGATCAAAGCCACAATTACAAGACAGTTTCAGACTCAAATAAGGCCCACTTTGCACTTCTCTGCTGCACAAGGGTCACCCCATTTGCAGCATACAATTAACTTGGAAATTTTAGTGTACCACTTACAACAATAACTACTTGGAATGTGCTCTTAAGTTGCTTGTCCATCTTACTGAGAAGGTCAAAACTGATGATGTTGATCAAGCTTCCTGTTAGGTTGTCTTTGCCAGTCACTATGACATTAGTGCTATCTGGACTCAAGGATGGAAGCCACCTGTGAAATGCCTGGAGGAAGAGGAAAGAAATTAATTGCATTCTAGTGCTTATCTTCATTTTCAAGATCCCAAAGCAGTTCACAGAATATCCTCATGAATACTTAGAACATGGAGCCACCCCATTCACCACCAGACATCACGTGAGAGCACAGTAAGGGTAAGCAGCCTTCCCCCAACCACCCTACTAATGTGAAGATCAAGACCAGAATTCAGGCTATAAAGCAAAATCTACCTTCCACAGCTAGGAAAGCTCAAACATTCTCTATTCTTTCTTCTTACTGAAAAAATAAAAAGCAAGACAGACAAAAGAAAAAGAAACAAACAAAAAACCCCAATAAAACAAACAAACAAAGCCCCTGATCTGTAGTAGAAATGTGGATAACCTCCTGACAATGTTACCTGCTATGCTCAGAGCCAGAGAATGATGCAACCACTACTTACAGGGAAATTTAGTTTTCCTACTCAACAGGAAACCTCAGGCTGTGAAACACAGACTTCTGAGCAGTAAACATCTATTACTATAGCAATGTTTACTCCACAGTAAAAAAGGATAAAGTACAACTCATCCAGATCAACAAAACTCTTCCACTACCTCTTCTGAAAAGGTCTACAGAAAAAAAATAACAACTTGCCAAACAAAAATAAAAAATGAAAAGATCAAGTTGACAACACACCAGCTGCTCTATGACAGCAGCTGAAATACATGTGGTAATAGTCATTCAATCAACCTCCTGAAATGCTCCACACACCAGAGCAAGATATCCTCCCCCAAACCCATCTGTTAGCCACAGACCACCCACCATTTCCCTTGTAATTTTGTCCCAAATGACACCAAGCTCTCTGCAACATTTGAGTTCTGCTGATGTTGCACTGCAGAAAACTGTCTGGGACTTTGGCCATCAGAATCTGGTCCCTACAGAAATGTAACCAAGTGCTGATGAGAAACAGCATCTCTGTCTCTAAGCCCATTGCCCAGTACCCAACACCCCAACCATCATTCCTCTCCACTGTTCAGCAACCACCTGCAGCAGCAAGAGGAGTTAGATGAGAGCTTCTCACATTTCTCAGTATGTGAAAAAGTAACAATTAACTATCCTTCACCACTTACTATAAGCACCACAACCAAAACAAGCCAACATGCAGGTTAGATCCCAACCAAAAGACATGTGGCTGGCGCCAAGTCAAATCTTAAACAAAGGTGGCAGCAAGAGGAAAGTATCTGGAAGCTCCTAATTGTACTGCCCTCTCCTAGTTCACACCACAAAAGGGATGCTGTATTTCTCACATGATGCTGACCTTCGTCCACAAGAGGTGCTTCGAAACTGCCCTGACCATTAAATAATCAAGTTTCAATTCTGAACTCTAAATGCTGCAGCACTTCTCACCCAAGAGTACCTTGTATCTTCCCACTAGCTTCCTATGACACCCCGAGTATGAAGTCACTGAGTGGCCTGAGCCCAAAAAGCCAAAATAAACCACTGATAACACTAAGATGAAGAAAATTTCTGCCAATTTGGCTCCAGAAAGCTTCTAGCATTACAGTAAAACATCTGTGCAAGAATGAACTGAGTAGATTAGAGACTATAATAAACCTCACCTACTTCCACTTTCTGTGACACATCTTCCTTACACCTGCATCCTTCACATACTCAAAAAGCACCACATCTAAAGCAAATGACCTAACAAAACATACACAACAGCCTCCTGGGGAGTCAGGATTAGGGGAAGGAAGAAGAAATCAAGCACTCAAAGAAACAAACAAACAAAAATATTGCTTAAATCTTTTGAAGCAGAACGGAGAAATTTAGTTGCAGGTGCCCAATAATTCAGGAAACCAAGCCTCAAATTGTTCCTGGTAGATATCCCACAGAAGCAATGGTGTTGTCCCAGAGGTCTAGAGGCCTTGAAATTTCAAGTCTGATGAGCATCACTCCCTCCTCCCATTTTCTTTTCTTTTCAGCCCTACATTTTGTTGCACTACTGGATGTGAAAACACACACCAGGATGCTCTAACAACCTGGTTACAGCACAAAATCAGCAAATCTCAATCAATACTCTTCTCATCAATGCAATATTCCAGGAAAAGCAAAACTCCCACTCCCTCCTGCTCTGGCATGAATTTACTGACCTAAAACCTCTGGCTCACCTTCTTCTCCCACAGTGAGCGTCTCACTAGCCTATGGAAACCCAACAGTGTACAGGCCATGGCAGTGATTTATTTTGAGATACATTCCCAACCATCCAAGCTTTCCTGGGCTTTGATCAACATTAATTAAGGACTCAGAGGAGTCAGCAGCATACAGTGGACAGGCCAAAAGACGTAATATGACACACACTTAATGATGGTGATAATGGGGCCTTTTGAACAGAGCAGAGAATCCCAGCATCTGGGCCCCTGTTCCAGCCAAGGAACTGGCAAATACTGCTACAATGGGCTTGAATACAAGACAATTGCTTGAATGTAACTATTATCTTTGACACTGATGAGTAAAATGCCCCCTTGGAGCCAGCTGACTTGTAGGAACAAAGTTAACAGAGGGTCAGAGGAGATACTTTCTCTAGTTCTTCCTCTTTCCAACAGATCAGCTGGACCACAAGAAGAAAAACGGCCAATAAAACAAAATTGGCATATACCATATAGTCAATGCTAAGCAATTTCCCCCACTTCAAGTTTCTAAATCAGTATAATTTTTAGTTTCTTCGCCTTAATATTTTAAAAATTTAACTTTTACAAAGTGCAATACAGTATAACCATCTCACAGGCCCTTTACTGGCCACCTGCCCATGCTCGAGCTCACAGTACCTCTGCCCATGTAAACCTCACGGAAGAAGGAGTCACCACCAGCAAGGGCCATTCCTTTTGGTAATAGGCAGCAATGCAGATCGCCTGGATGGTCTTGCCCAAGCCCATGTCATCCGCAAGGAGTAAACGTCCATTTCTCAAAATTGCGAAACTGGGGAAAATAGAGGGAAGTAAGGGTCAAGAATTGCGTTACTATCTGGCAATCAAGATGAGCACAAGTCATCACCAAGCCTCTAATGTGGATCACCTGGAAGTGATCTGGGTTCTTCAGTAAACCTGGATTTTCTCCCTTAGTCTTAACACACATGAGCGACTCTCACATATCTCTCACAGCTTGGAAGCTTCTGAGCAGAGTGGTTCAGCCCAGTCCTTAGACACTGATTTCATATGAGTAGTGTCAAGACCACACAATTATTTAAAGCACATTCGTTACATGGTATTACATTCTGTCCCAGAGTTCATCCTGGCTGAGCTAAGAAATCATTACCCATAACAATGGCAATTTAAGGCCACTAAGAACAGACTTTCCTAGACTGTATATTGAAGTCAACAACAAACAATCATATATGATGGGCACAGGGTCATTTAAGAGTTTATCTTTACATACAATTACTCATTTTGAATCTGTCAGGGCCTTGGTCCCATTTCCTGGTCCCTTCCCTTGTGTAGTTAATATTCAAAAAACAACAACAACAAAAGAGATGCACTCATAAAAAAATATTTTACCTTACAAAATAAAAAAATCATATGACAATTATGTACATACTGAATCACAAGGAGATCAGAGATGTATCATTTGAACAATTTTTTCAGACTAGCAAAATGCTACTTTGCTCCTGACTCATGATGAATTCTATCTAGAAACAAAACAGATGTGTCACTCAAAAATTCCACAAAAAAAAAATCCCAACCAAATAAACCATACTATACCAAACAACCAAAAGCCCAGAATGCCAGAGTATAAGAGACCAAGACTGAAGAAATGCGGAGCCTTCCATGGAAGACAATGCAACCTGGGCACCAATATAAACTAGATAATTCTAGGCAAGGAGTAGCCCTTAACAGCATGCAAAAAGGACATACTTCACACCTTCCCGCTGAAAGGGCATGAGGCTCGTCACAATTTTGGAGTCCACTACTGAAAGGTCGGCATCAGGAATGTCTGTGCGTGACAGGCATCTCTGCAGCTGAGCAGCAAAGGTCTGTATTACTGCCTGGGGCAGTGGCTCCACTTCTACTGACACGAGGCTCTGTAACACTTCGACTGCAAAGAACAGAGCAGTTTATTATTGCAAGGGGCAACATACACACAACTTACATTATGGATATCAGGACACAACCTCAACCTCATCAGCAATATTATTTTCTGTCCTGAAACAGCTCACAGAAATCACTGCATCATGCACAGGTGTTAGCCTGGCCTCTTCCCTGAAGTCTATTTCAGAACCACACGATGAATCACATCTCCTCCCCTCGTATTTAGACTTGGTTATAAAAAAAATGGAACTCTGACGCCATCATTCTGAGATGATTGCTGCTAATACAGCTGGAGCTGGATTATTCACACTGAGGGCAGCTTAGGGCACACTTTACTCAGAAATGAAAGTATGGATTTGAACAAAAGAGCTCCTGAAGCCTAGAAGGCAGGGGCATCTTTATCTTGACCTTGGGATTCTGCATTAAACACCTCTGAGGTTTCCACCATGTCCAAATCACCAGGAGTGACCCAAGACAGTTACCGAAAGAATATCATATGTGTTCAGCTTTGAAAAGTCTCTTTTCCTCCTGTTCCCCAAATTCACGCAGGTTGAGTTCTGTCTCCACTTCATCCCCCTCATTTACTACATTTGGGTAAGAAAACAGGAATCACCCCAGGAGTCAGAGAAACTGCTTTGTACCACTGTCAGCAGCACTCTGACAGCCATCCTTCAGTAACAACAGCACCTCCCTGCTCAGCTGCTGTCCACTGCTGTTGTCCTGGACAGAAGCAGCTTGCAGGTCAGAACTAGCCCACAGGCAGTCACTTGAGTTCTTCAGTATTTAAGTTGTTTCTCCCATGAAGCCCCTGAACTTTACCTTCCCAGTTGAACTAAAGGGATCCCCAGCCTCCATTATGCCAAGACCTTGAGGCCTTCACCCATGCATCATAACAAACAAAGCATCTAGGCAATTCTCCTCCTGGACAACCTTATTTCAGTTCCCTCCAGCAGCCTCTCTATCCCATCCCCCCACAATAAAAGTATTTCTTTTTAATCCAACAGTGAATTTCCATGAAAATAAATACCTGTTTAAAACATCCAGTGAACTGTGACCAGGAAAACATATTTAGTAATTTTTGACCAGTGACTATGAAACAAAAGACACCTCTACACTAGGAACACAAATGCACGTGCACAGATCTTCACTGCAGGAAGCAACTTTCTTTTTTATTTAGTGGTTGGTTTGTATTTGAAGTCCAGAAGACATAAAAAAAACTGTTTGGAAAAACAACTGAAACAAGAACTCACTATATCAACAGTAAATGCGTCAGAATTCAGTTAGGTATTTTTGTTTCAGTTATCTCCAAGAGGAAAGCAGCAAGATGGACCCCTGCCATATAAAGGGGAAAAGCAATTACAAGAAATATACATATGAAAAGATTTCCATTTGTGGTTGGGCAATGACCAAACTTTTTAAACTCTCCAGTTTAATTTATACTTCTTCAATAGCAGGAACTCTCTCCACCCGAAGTACAGCAGAAGCTTGTTATTACACTCACAGACTGAGCTGCGTGTTAGCATAATTGCTACAATTTGCTCACTGAAAATTCTGTTGCTATTGTTCTGTACATGAGCTGAGAGAGTGATTAAGATATATCTGCCACCAGCATGATTCATCCAACAGACATTTTTTAGTGAAGTAACCTTTATATAAAGATGACTGAGCAACTAGGCAAAGAGACATTAACCTCTATAAACAGTTCCCAGCTAACAGATCTCTCTGCTGGAAATGGCAACCAGCCTTTTTAAATTCTCTCCTCTTTTTTTATTCTGATGTAGGCAAATGAACAGGCAACAAAGCAAATGCTGTTTCTCTAAAAGGCACGTGCTAGAAGCCTCAAATGCCCTCACAAATTACACCCTGCAAGATTCATGGAAATTTTTTTTCTTTCCTCAAATCTGTGGGATTCTCAATACTTCATGTAACGTATACGACTGCCAGCCAGCATGACTGAAACTGTGACAGACTGGGATGTGATGTGTTTGCTCAGACTGCCTAGCACATGCTACAGGATCAGGCCCTTTGCACATACAAAAGGCCTTTTTAGCAAATTGTGAGTGAACACCAGCTCTCACTGAAATCAGGACCTGTCAGCATCCCAACCCTGCAATTTCATAATAGTCTTCACCAAGACACACTCTCTTGTTTTCAAGACCTGGCATTCCTACACAGCCCCACTGCATGGCTTTCAGCTCTACAGCCATTACTAACGTTATTAAGGCATGCATCATAGAAGCATGCATATACTCAATTATTAAACATACTTTGGAATCCTGTGGAAGCAGGAGCCCACGCTGGATAAAAACTACTCTAAGCAACAGCTTTTCATTCTGAAACGCTCAGTCACATTTTCTAAGAATGTGTGTAGAGCACCTTGCTTATCGTCTTCCTGAAGCTTACCCCAACCAAATTCCACAGCCACATACGAGTACCAAGGCAAACACAACTGGGATGAAAAATAATAATCATAACACTTAGGACTTGTGTAATGCTATTCATCTCCAAGCACTCTATAACTAAACATAGAAGACTAAGAAGCAGATGTGCTGGAAGCATGCTGCCGAGACTGGATTATTCTGCAAAGTTGCACCCATTAAAAAAATAAAAAATCACTGCAACACAACAAACCACAGTTGTACATTTCAGTTCAGCAAGTCACAGTTTCAGCAGGATTACACAGATGCATAAAGGCAAAATGTAGTGGGCAGAAACTGATGCACAGAAAGTTCCACCTGAATATGAAGAACTTCTTTATTGTGCAAGCGACCAAGAGGTTGTGGAGTCTCCCTCACTGGAGAAATAACCACAAACCATCTGGACACAATCCTGTGCCATGTGCTCTAGGATGACCCTGCCTGAGGGACATTGGACCAGATGACCCACAGTGGTCCCTTCTAACCTGACCCATTCTGTGATTCTGAGTCTACTGATCAACTTCTACCAAGAAATTAACTCTGTAGTGACACTATGTGCTTAGATTCCACTTGCAAGGAAAAATAGGATGCTTTTTTCTTGCTAAGCTTTCTTTTAAGCATCCAAACATTTTAGTAGAGTATGAAATTCAGCTTCAAGAATGCCTCTGCTTCAAGCAGATCTGCACAATTCTGCAAGAGAAACAAGCAAGTCTTCTTGTTTGCCTCAGAATCAACTCATCTACAGAAGCAACCTGAATTCTAACCTGCTGCAGACATCAATTAAAAACTTAATAGTTGTGTGCTGCCTGCAAAGCCATTATTACCAGCAGTAACATATGAGGCTGAACAAAATCAACTAGACAGCACTTAGACTGTAACTGTAGATGAACTAGTCATTACAGAAGTCATCATCTGACTTGAAAACCTAGTGCTCTGATCTGAAAAACCAAATTTACTGGGTGTGAAATGAACTAGCATACCACCATGCACACTACTTAAGGAAATGGAAGCAAAACTGCCTGATACATGTTTGTTTTCTAAGCAAGGGGTGGCTGTGACAGTGTATGAATTGATATACAATATATACACACAAAAGAGTGCAAGGTGGGTGATATGGTTTGATGCTGGCTCCCTGCCAAGTCTCCAAACCTTACCACCAGAAGTCCCCCCCCCCCCCCAACAAAAAAAAACCTCAGGGAGAAGAGGGAGAAAAAACTAAGAAAAACCCGAAAACGAGAGAGAAACAACCAAAGTGATATATATAAATATATTTACACTTATATACAATTTCACAAGGGAAAGGGAAAGGGGAAGGGGAAAAAGGAACAAAACTAAAATAAAATATATATATATATATCCCAATCAGTAGCCCGAGATCTAGTAACTAAAGAACAAAAGAGTTAGCAAAGAAGATATCTCACTACTCTCCTGGGACAACCGAGAGTCGCTCCGGAACGATCGCCGGCAACCTCTGTCTCCCAAGGTCGGCAAGGTCTAACCAGGCCTCGCTCCCCAACACGGCAGACTCAACAGCAGGGAACCTGCACCTCCAAGCCGCCGGAAGGAAAGAGAGCGAAGGCCTCTCCTCCTCTCTTCTTATAGTCTGGCTTACGTAAAAATCGTAGGGAATACTGGGTAAATCTGGACCCTTCCTTGGTTACAAACTGGTCACCAAGGAAGGCCTAGCCCAAACCACCACAGTGGGCTGGCACTGAGGGTAAGGGGAGCACAGCTAAAACACATCAGTTTGACAGAATTTCTGTAAGGACAGGTAGGCTTGGCAGTCACCATGTCAACCTCTTCAAATGTGGCAAGTGGAAACAAAGGAGTCCATTCTACTGTAACTCCTTAGTTCAAGCAGAGCTGCTTTACGTTATAAGCAATAAAAGTAACTTTGTGATAGTAAATACACCCATGCTTTAAGAAGTGGTCCACAAATTCAGTGCAGAATCTGACAAAAGCTAAAGCTACCTTCCCAATGGGCCCCTAAAGTACTGCCATGAATAGCACACATTATTAAAGTTTTGAGTCTGGGCAAACAGTGTAAATGTTTGAAAAAACAGGACAACACTGGCCTCACAGTTTATTAGCAACTTGTCTTTCCAGAGTGAAAATAAAGAAAAAATAAAGTTAGAATTCATTTGCCTCCCCAGAAAATAGCCCTCACCAGGGAAACGCAGCTACTCACTTAGTTTGGGGTAATCCTCCAGCAGGAAATTCCACTTTCTGGTGTTCACATCTGCAATAGTTACAGCAAACACTGTCATAAGTCTCTTTCAAAAAAGACTGAATTCTCTGTCCTTAAGAACCTGTCTATTCATCTATATCTTCTGCTACAGATTTCAGAACTGCTTTAAAAGAATTGTTACCTTCAAAATCAATTCTCCTCTGTTTGCTTTCATGTTAAGCAAACAGTTTGGAGAAGATTTAAAATTATGAGCACACATCTAGATCTGGTATCACCAGAGCAAGCCAAGGTCAGCTCTCCAAATGAACCACTGTAATAAACCCATCTGCTCAAGAATTTTGGCAACCCCTTTCTTTTCAGTGCAAGAAGGGATGGAGAATGTGCATGAAGGTTCCCATTTGTTAACCAACAAACTCTGGCTTCAGTCAGTAGAACAGTCACTTTCAGTTGTACCTCTGTACTCTATAGTTGATGTGCTCAGGAGAGTACAAAGGAAATTCACCAATTCAACAATATCCAAAATGTAACATCATGCCAGACCTATCTGGCAGGTTTATCTCTGAGTAGCACCTGGCTATAACATCCAGAGAAACAGAGTGAATCCAGAATCAGCTGAAAACTGAGCCAGGTGAGGCCCTGCTCAAAGAACGAGCAATCTGGAATTTGTTCTCTATGCTGCCACTGACCTGCTGTGACACTGTGCAGGTCACCTCATCACTCTGTGCCTCATTCCCCAAATTACAAGGGGAAAAAAATTATATTTACCATTGAAATCGGAATGCCGACATAAAAAGTGCTCTACAGTTACACTTGCCTCAAAAATATTGGTAAAACTGCTGGTAAATTAAATCTGCCCAGGCAGTTGCAGCCATTATACACCAGAGTAAAGCAGGAGAAATAAGAGAATGTCCAACTGCATTTGATAATAAAGGCAAGAACTTCACACGGTCTCTGTACTGCTGGCAAATTATCAGCACATCCCACCTCAATAGTAAATGTCATCATGCTGGGTTCTGAAGTATCACCTTGGCTAACAGGCCCAGGAGACATGTTCTGCCATGGGATAAAATGCTGGACACAGATACAGCACTATAACAGAACTACAAGAGCTCTCAAAATGTTCACCAAAGCACAATCTCTTATGCTCTTTCAGAGGGATGTACTCTCACAATCTGTCTTCTCTGAAGCAAGAGCAGCCCCAACAAGGTCATTAAAAAAAAGCAGAAAAAACATGAGACTCACCATAATTTCTGGAATCTATCTGTTTGAACACTCCAATCACTTCTGCAGAATACCCAATATCAACCTCAAATCGCAAGCGTGAGATCAGCACACACTTCCCTTTGACAAGGGCTGAGGGTTTCTTCCAGTTCTTACACATCTTCAAGAGGGATTTCACATCAACCCCACTGCCAACGAAATGAGAGCCTGATGCCAAGCCAACTGCATTTTCTCCTTCCAGTGGTGCCAGAACTACTGACGAAAGTTGATTCGCTGCTTCCACTAGGGATAAAAACATGAGATACAAAACAGAATGAATGACAAAGAACATCAATAAACTAAAGGTTTATTGCACAGGATACTTGGGGAAGAAAAGGGACAAGAAGATAACAAACCATGCACCTTCAAGTTGAAAAGGAATGATGATTCCCTCCTTTCACTCACAGGGACAAAGACTAGAGAGAGGAATGGCCTGGAGGAGCAGATTGGTGGGATTTTCCACAGAGAATACAGTCATGGCAAAGGGAACATATGACAGTAGGTGAAAAAGGCCCTGTCCAGCACTGTCACTGCATTAGGCTCCTTCTCTGTCAGCAATCCTAACATGTGGCTCGCTAAGCCAGGGCAGAACTACATTTTGCAGTAAATTGCACACAGCCATACAGCATTTTCACTTACAAAATCACGGGGACAGGGGCATGGTGATCAATGGCACGTGCCTGAAAAGATGGGAAGGTGCTTCTGTAAACAGCAAAGGAGAAAGATCTAAAAATACCTGCCTCATGTCAATGTCTGATAGGCAATCTCATCTAGGAAGAACACTGCATATTCACAGTGCTGCAGGAAGGAAACTAGTCCAAATTCCTAAATCTCTTTTGTTACAACTTAAGTTCATCACCCTTTATTCTACTGTGTCTTACAGTTAGGCTTGTACTGTCTTGACCAGCCATCTGCACTCCTGCCTTACCCATCGCTAGCAACTACCTCTGTCACGTCAGGGCATGGAGAGAGAAGGGATGGAGCATTTTACAGCTGCTAGTCTGAGAACACAGCTATCCACATAATAAATGTGCCACTTATTCCTGTGTTGCTCAGCCAATCTATACCCATGTGTTGTCTCCATTATTGTAACTGAACTCTGATGGTTAAGCTACAGGAATAACTTTTCTTGTATTTTTTACAGCACCAAAACAGTGCAATTTGTCCTCAGGACTCCAACTCACAGGTACTACAGTAACACAAAGATTCATGAACATATCCAGAGCCCATTAGACTCAAGATCAGGAGATCACTAAGCACATTCTGCCTCCATGTATTTGTGGAGAGACAGCTTCCCCTATCTGGTAGCTGTTTAGAGTAGATCCAGGTGAATCCAGTCCTTTGAGCATTGACCTGCACATCATGATCCACTCTGCTTCTTTTTAAACAGTCCAGCTAACTGATATGCAACAAAATATACAAAATTTAAGTTCAGAGGTCAAGATCTGAAATGGGAGAAGGAAATTCAGACAGTTTCTTCCTAACCAGTTAATAAATATACCGTTTGGATTTAATCCAATCTTATTTCAAGATAAGTGACTTCCAAAATAAATCAAAGTATTTGAGATTTCTACTCCAAATAAAAAGTTTAAGAGCATCCTGTGAAAGTAATTTTTAAAGCAGAGGAATAGGAAACCACCAATTTAGACTTTCTCCTGCAAATGCACTAAGCAAAACATTTCAGATGCTACTGGTAGATCTCACCTCTACAACTAATACTGAAAGAAACTGGGAGGAAAAAAAGTATATTTTATTCTTATTTCAACATTTGTTTCTAGCCTTGACTGCATGTTTAATTTATAGTACAAAGAAAGAAAGGTGATACAAGACCACATTATTCAGAAGAACTAAATAAGGAGTGGGAACTTTTAAAATAATTGTTTTACACTGTCAAGACTTCAAGGCCCTTTTAATTCAGTTCCCTTTTCTCAGACTATTTTTCCACAATTTCATTGCCCAATATTGATCACATATTGTCTTCACTCGTAAACAGGAACTTTCCACAGAGTACTCATATATTTGATAGCTTTAAAGAAAAATTTCTGATTTCTAAAAGCCATCCTCTTCGTTTGCAAGCTCCTTGGTGCAGACTCTGCTCTCATCTGTACTCGACACAATTCAAGCACACCAGCAGCATTTAAATTATAAATGTGTGGCAACCCACATGGGAAGCTAAAATACCAGCACTCAACTGTGGCTTTTCAAAGTGCTCAACACAGGCCTAATTCTGTTCCCACTGAAATCAATAGTGATTTATCACTCACTTCAATACAGTGTGCTTTTGAAAAGCTTACCTGAAGTGTTTGCCTCTATCATCTCTCAATCTTTACAGAACAAAATGACAGAAGAGGGAAAAAAAGATAAAGCCATCCTTGTTATGCCAAAAAAAGGCAAATCCATTTTCAGTCTCACTCAAAGCTCTGGAGAGTTACCCTTTATCCTTTTATGACACACAAAAATTAACAGGAAAAGTGTTTCAAAAAGAGCTATTTAAAAAGAAAATACATGAATGGGTGCAGAAATTAAGCATTAGCCACTGGAACACACTCAATTTTCAATACAAATTCAAATGAAGTACCAGCACAGCAGATAATTTTCCTACGATCTTCTTGGTTGCTGAAGAACTCAGCAATGGCAGAAGTTTAACCTGTGCTTGGTATTTAGATTACATGAAAAATTAAATTATTTCTAATCAACTACAAAGTGTCAGGAAAATGCTATGAGCTAGGTGCCTAAAAGATAGGCATTATCTTTGAGTAGCACTACTTTTATTATCTAAGACAATAACAAAGCTAAATAATAACTATGGAAGGCAGGGGAAGGGGTGTGTGGGTCAAGATTTCAATCCTTTTTTATCATTAAACAACCAATTTACTTACTGAGACTGCTGTAATCTCCCAAGCTGAAATTCCATTTTTTCATAGCAGGATCTAAAACAGGGCAGAATATGAATCATTTGAGGTAGAAAAAACTGGTGGTATGCAATGTTCATGTGAGGTAAGAGAATTAAATCTACTCATGTAAACTTTTTGCCACACATCTAAAAACCAGTTATACCCAATTATAACATTTCACAGCTACGTGACACCAAAAAAAAGCCATAGGGCATATCAGTATCAAAACAAGAAGAATGCAGCAGCCATTCACAGGGATCAGCAACACATGGGGGAAACAAAAGTAAAATATAGCAAATAAAGGCGGGGGGAAGATCAGAAGCAAGGCAAAAGGTGGAGATTCCACTGCTTTCAGTAACCCAGTTAACAGAATCAGCTTATCAACTCTGAACTACAGCAGAAGTGACCCATTTTCCCATATCAATTTATGAATAACTTCTCTTCCTTCACTCCCTAAAGACTCTGACCAGCTGCTGCCACTAAATTTCTCAGAGCACTGTTCATAAAGCAAGGCTTCTGATTTCTTTTCTAAATCGAAGCTCAAACTATTTATACCCAGAACTTCTATCCCATTTCATCTGTCTTTATTTTTTTAGGCCCCATTAATACCACCTATTCCACCCCAGCAATAGGTGCACTGGTAGGTGCATATAGCAACTACAATTGCAGCAGATGCCAAAACTTCAACCCAATGTAACACAGAGATAACAACAAATAATCAATTCTTACCGTAGGCTTTGCTTGGTACCTTCTTAAACACAGTAATTAGTTCAGCATTATACCCTATTTCGACCTGGAATCGGTCTTCCCCATATTTCACACATTTTCCTTTTGTAACATTATTTGCTTTCTTGCCAGAGGCAGTTTCAAAGGTAGAGTCCACACCAGAAGTGTTGGTCACCTTCTGCATCCTACCACTGACCTGAGATACAACACCTTTCCCTTTTCTTTCTGTCAGTCTGCTTGTGTTTATCGGCATTTCTGAATCACTTGGGGCGGCACTGCTTGATGGTAAAACATATTTTATGGCAGATTTGTTCAGACTTTGTAAATTTTTACTACCGTCAGGGTGCGTGTTATCAGTTAACGTAGGATGAGATGGTTCTGTGGAGTTTTTGAAAGCTGGGTAGCATTTGGACTGCTGGGAGGTTCCAAGATTAATTAAAGCTTGTTGTCCATGTTCCTGACCACCAGCATCCAAGTAATGTTTATGGGAATAACTCAAAGAATTTGGGATCGTTGTAGGGAAATGCTTAAGGCCACTTGCTTGTTCTGAGTCCTCTGAACAATTCTTTTGCTGCTCCCTTTGTGAACCAGCCATCTGTTGGTTTGCAGTGTAATGGTTATAACCTTTCTGAAGATAGCTCTTCTGCTCCACAGGATTGTTTGGATTCTGTTGGTGCTGGCCGGTGAACCTGGCATGGTTGTTTTCTTCCTTCGAGTTTCTCTGATTGCCTGGGCTCTGTTCTTTCACCTGAGGTGCAGCAATCCCCACCTGCCCAGCTCTCTGGACTGCCAGCCTCTCTGCTCTCCGAGCCAAAGCTATCCGCCGATTCTCTTCAATCCTCCTCTTTTGTTCCTCTGTAAGGCCTGATGACATCTTCAACAATTCAAATAATAAATCTGCACCAACACTACATCGGGAATTAATCACAGAGGCCGTCTACTAAAAAAAAAAAAAAAAACACCCACAAATAGAGACAGGAAGTTTCAACTCAGTTTCCCCAAACGATTATTGTATTGATAACTCAGTATTATTAGTGATTGAGTATTACTGTATCTGATCCTACACAAATATCTGGTAGTGTAGCAAAGCTGTCAGACCAAGGCTGAGCCATTATCAGCAAGTAGATGGTGACAACCATTGATGCCAGAAAAAGGAGAAACCCCCTATCCCACTACAGTTCTGAACACTCTTGTCTGCAAATCCCAGCAGAACTGATGAAACAGCAAAGCACAGGAACACATTGCACTGCAGAGCCAGCTCTGCAAAGGTAAACGCAAAGCAATACATCTCTGCACAGTGGTTGTGGAAATGTGTCCTATTTCGGGTACCCATCAGCAAAGATGGAAGGATGGCCATCCCCTCTATTCACCTTCGGCTCTCTGGGTACCTGACAGAGCGTGGCAGACACATACTGAACCCCAAAGGGCAGAGTCGGCTCCTGCCTTGAGAAAGGTCGACCCGCAGCTTACGGATAGAAGTGAAGCCCCGGTTCCCGCCACATCTCCCAGGAGCCGGCCTCCATCTCCTTCCCGCCTTATGCCCCGGGGCCGCCCGCCAGCTCCAGCCCTCCATTCACGCACATTCCTCACCACCCTGGGAGCGGGGAGGTCGCTCCCTGCCCACTCCTCTCCCATGCGCCGGGCAGGCTCCCGTCCCAAACTCCACGGAGGTCGCGGCCCGCGGCCCTCTCCCCGCCCCCCCCCGCCGCCAGGGACCCCCCGCCGCCCCGCGGGGTCCCGGCACTGCCGCCCGTCCCCGGGCGCGGGGGCTGCGCCGCGGTGCCCGCCCGGCCCCGGGGACTCCGCCGCCCCCCGCTCACCCGCCAGCGGGCGCAGCCCGGGGACCCGCCGAGGGACTACAGCTCCCAGCAGCCCCCGCGCCACCGCCTGGCGGCACCGAGCGCCCGGCAGCGCGCGGTGTGACGAATGCAAGCGGCGCGGGGCGCGCAGGGAGCTGGGAAGTGTAGTCTGGTGCTGAGGGCGCCATGTTGGGGCTGCTGAGGCCGTCACGCCGGAGCAGGCGGGGGTCCGGGGGCCGCCCCCGCCACCCGCTTGCTCCTGTTCCGTTCAGGGCCACATACGGGGTGCGGGGAGTCTGCTGCCGGCCCCTGGTCGAGGGTTTGCCCCGGCCAGCACCTGGTGCTGCACAGACGGAGCAGGGCACCCTCGCTGGCTGCCCCTGCTGAGTGGGTCTGGCACACCAGCGTGTGTGGCTCTTAACTGGAGACTGAGTGGGGAGTAAACGCTGGAGGTGATGTGTGAGAAGGGGTGACAGCGCTTGTCAGCACTGAGGAGGGAGTCCACCCCTGGGTGTTATGAGCAGTAGCTGACAAAGGTCACTCTGACATTTTTGAACAGTGGTGATCACAGAATCAATTAGGTTGGAAAACATCTCTGGGATCATCGAGTCCAATCTATGACCAAACACCACCATGTCAACTAGACCGTGGCACCATGTGCCACATCCAGTCTTTCCTTAAACACTTCCAGGGATGGTGACTCCACCACCCCCCTTGGCAGTCCATTCCAATATCTAATCATCCTTTCTGTAGATAAATTCTTCCTATGTCCAATCGAAACCTCCTGTGGCACAGCTTAAGACTCTGTTCTCTTGTCCTGTTGCTAGTTGCCTGGGAGAAGAGGCTTAAGCCCACATGGGTACAATCTCCTTTCAAGTAGTCATAGAGAGTGATAAGGTCATCCTCGAGCCTCCTTTTCTCCAGATTGAACACCCCCAGCTCCCTCAGCTGCTCCTTACAGGACATGTGTTCCAGACCCTTCACCAGCTCCGTTGGCCTTCTCTGGACATGCTCCAACACCTCAATGCCCTGCCTGAATTGAGGGGCCCAGAAGTGGACACAGCACTTGAGGTGTGGCTTCACCAGTGCTGAATAGAAGGGGCAATCACTTCCCTAGTCTTGCTGGCCACACTATTCCTAATAAAGGCCAGGATGCCACTGGCCTTCTTGGGCACGTGGGCATACACACTGGTTCATGTTCACCAGCTGTCAACCAACACCCCCAGGTCCTTTTCCGCTGGGCTGCTTTCTAGCCACTGTTCCCCCAGCCTGTAGTGCTGCCTGGGGGTTATTGTGGCCAAAGTGCAGGACCCAGCGCTCAGTCTTGTTCAACCTCAGCCCGTCGATCCAGCCTGTCCAGATTCCTCTGCAGAGCCTTCCTGCCCTCCAGCAGAGCCACACGCTGACCCAACTTGGTGTCATCCATGAATTTGCTAATGGTCAGCTTGATCCCCTCATCCAGATCATTGATAAAGATGTTAAACAGGACTCGGCCCAACACTGATCCCTGGGGGACATCACTAGTGACCAGACAGATGAGGGGATGTGCCTGGAGGCTGGAAGAAGGCAGATGTCGGAGCTATCTACAAGCAAAGGAGGACACATGAAACTACAGGCCAGCTAGTCTTACTCAAGACCCTGGGAAAGTAGTAGAGTGAGTCTTCTGAGAAACTATTGCAAACCAAATAAAGCAGGTGACTGGGAAGGCCAGCACAGATTTACTAAAGGCGAATCATGGCAGACTAACCTGATCACGTACAGCAAAATAACATTTTTTTGTCTACCTGAGGAAGTAGCCTCCTCATGGACGAACTGACCAGATACAGACTGGAGGGGTGGTCTGTGAGATGGATAGGAAATTGGCTCACAGGCCACATGCAGAAGGCAGTGATCAATGGGTTTTATTCAGGCTGGCAACCTGTCACAAGAGAGATCCCTCAGGGATCAGTACTGAGCCCCACACTGTTCAACGAATTGTGATGGAAGAGGTTTCATCTTGATGTGAGACAGAAACTTTTTTCATTGAGAATAATCAATCACTGAAACAACCTCCCCAGGGACATGGTGGAGTCCTCATCACTGGAAGTTTTCAAGATCCAATTGAACAGGGTGATAGATAACCTCATCTAGGCTCTCTTTCCCACAAAAGGTTAGACCAGATGGTCTTTTGAGGTCCCTTTCAACCTGGGCTCATTTATGATTCTGTAAACACCTTCATAATAAGGTACCTTCACTCATATTTGCTTCAAAGTTAAAATAAAAGGGCCTCCCACAGTTCTAATTACACATGGGTCTGGATTATACACATCAAGATGCCTTTCCTGGACAGTCATGATCCCCATGTGCGCGACCAGAGCAGTAACTGGGGAGAAAGCAGAGGAAAGGCCCTGGGGAGCACCAGAACCCTCTCCCATCTCAAAATTTTACTCTGCCCAGTGGCAGGTCCAGAGCTGCTACCTTGTCCCCAGATACCATTTTCTTCTGCCTGACAGACCCTTTGGCTGGAGACACTGAAGCCAGCTGGCTGTTTCACAGTTTATTCATTCTTCTCTTTGCTGGTTAATTAGAAAGGGTTATCATTAAATTGCTTCCTGATTAAGCAGCAGTGACTGCCATTAGTCAGGAGCTTGTCAGCCCAAGAAAAACAAGGCAGGCAGCAAGAACAAGGTGCGACTTGACACACACCACAACACGGAGTGCTGTTACCTGGGAATCGCGCACACACAGACGTGAGCACGTCACATCCACACGGGCACTCGCAAACACACCGCTTTTAAAGAAATCCATAGGCTAAAGAGAGATTGCGTCCAAGGTTACATCCCATCATCCCTTAAGAGAGAAAGTCAAACCTTTTTTCAGGTTCCAGGTCCCCTCACTGCAGAGCGGTTTGCTAGGAAAGGATGCTCAGCCCCACGGTCTCTGTCCAGATCTTCCTCCTTTGCCCTTTCTTCCCATGCAGACTCCAGCTGGCTACACAGAAGAGAGAGAAAGGAATGGACAAGAGACCTTTTTTTTCTCCTCCTTGTCGCATTTTTAACTACCTAAAGCTAAACCAGATCCCAGTGTCACATATGGGCGAGAGAGAGAACATGCAGAGCATAATCCTGCAACTGTTTCCAGCCACCTTTTCCCTGCCAGCAGCTATCGAGTTCCAGGTCTCTGTTGATGGCTCCTTATGCTTTGGGAGATCTAGGGGAAAAAAAATATACTTGGGAAAAGTGAAGAAAAGCCCCTGCCAGGGACTGTCCCCAACTCGTGAAAACGTTGAGAGCAGAGCATCATTTGCAGAGAGCCCTTGGGTTGCACGGTCAGGCAGACACAGACAGACGTTGAAGCATTTGCTCCATATGGCACAACTTCAGCAAGCACAAGGAACAGCCCGGCCATGCAGAGAACAGACCTACAAAATGAGAAGCCATTTGTGAGCAGTTTGCTGGTAGCACTCCAGGTGTCCCTTCAGTCAGAACATGCTTCCAGCAGTGGCTTGGACTCATCTTCCACATACTGGGTCAGGGAGCAGAGATGCAGGGTGAAAATCCTGTGAAGACTAGGAGGGTTAGCACACCCCAGCTCTGCTGCAGAGGAAATGGTTCACCCCCCGTATGAAGAAATGCTCCCACCAGTGAAAAAACTTAAGGAAACCAGGTTCTCAGTGCTGTTCTTACCAGGATCTTGCTGTCGCTTGGGTCATGCTCTAAACATCTCCTTATGGGCTGGGTTGGCTGGTCCTGACTGCTGGCTTGGAATGAGCCAGAACTGCCTGTATTGTACATCTTATATGAGCAACAGCTAGTGTCTGGAATACGAGTCACCCAGGACTCCAGAGCTATTCTGGAATCTCGTGGATTGTCCTTTGAGAGGTTTCGAGCTGCTCTTTGGAGGTTCTACTGCTGTCATATTGAATGTATTTGCCCCATTTCACCACCTTGCCAACACACCTTGGTGGTTCTCCACATGAACAGGGCTGGCTTCCTTCCTTCTGGATGTGTGGCCAGCCTGCACTCTGCTAGGGCTGAATTGCATGCAGAGCTGCTGTCTGTAGCAAAGATAGAACTGGAAATCAGCCCAGGCTAATGACCCTGAGATGCCCCAGCTTCTTGCAGGGTTTTGGTAGCCCACACTGAGCTCAGAGACACCA